ACACACACAGCCCCGACCCCCGCACCCAACCCCCCCACACACAGCCCCGAACCCCCCCTCTCACTCACACACACACACACAGTCGCAGCCCGACTCTCTCCACTGATCAGTTTCCCAGCTCTCACACACACACATACACCGCCCCCTCCGACAGGCACACACACTGCACACACACACACACACTGCACACACACTGCACACACACACACACACACACACACTGCACACACACTCACACTGCACACACACACTGCACACACACACACACACACACCGCACACACTGCATACAATACACACACTGTACACACAACGCACGCAATACACACACACCGCACACAATACACACATACACACACTGTATACACACACAATACACGCACAATGCACACACTGTACACACACACCACACAATACACACACACTGTACACACACACACATACCGCACACAATACACACACACACACTGCAATACATGCATACACTGCGCACACTGTACACACACACACACACCGCCCCCTCTGACAGGCACACACACGGCACACAATACACACACACACAATACACAAATACTGCACACGCTGTACACACTGCCCCCTCCGACAGGCACACACTGCACACAATACACACACTGCACACAATACACACACACGCAGCACACAATTTACACACACACACTCCATGCAACACAACACACACATAATGCACACACTGCTCACAATACACACACACTGCGCGCAATACACACACACCGCACACAATACACACCGCACACAATACACACATACACTGCACACAATACACACATACACTGCGCACAATACACACACACACACACTGCACACAATACACACACACATGCTGTACATACACACCGCACACAATACACACACTCTCCGCACAATACACTGCGCACAATACACACACACACATTGCACAATACACACACTGCACCCAAACACACACACACCGCTCACAATGTACACACACACACACCACTCCCTCTGACAGGCACACACACTGCACAGAATACACACACTGTATACACTGTACATGCACACACTGCACACAATCAGCGCACAGTGCACATAATACATACACACACTGTATACACTCACTGTACACACACACACTATACATAATACTGTGTACACTGTACTCACACACTGTACTCAATACACACCGCGCACACTGTACGCACACACTACACACACTGCACACACACTATACACACAGCCCCCAACTCAGGCTGCTTTTCAATTAGGATTCGAGCACTCCGAGCCGTTCTCCCTGTGAAGGAGCTATTATATCATTGTAAAATGTTCTCGTTGGTGGTAGGACTCTCGCCTCAAAAAATGACCGGCTTTTGAGCTCAGCCTGTGCTGAAACTCCAGTGCCGTGTGGGGGGGCAGCTGTATTGTCAGAGACGCCATCCTTCGCATGAGACTTTAAACTCGAGCCCTGTCCTCCTACTCGTGTGGACGTTAACAGTCCTATGATGCTATTCTTTTTTAAAAAAAAAAGGAAGTTTTTCCCGTTTCCTGACCAACAATTCACCAGAGAAAATTGGTTATTCGCTTCATGACTGTGTGTGGGACATTGCTGCGTGTGCAATGCCCATTCGCCCCCAAAATACTCGACCATAAATCCTGTGAAGCACTTTCCCGAGACATTTTAATATAAATTCTTCCTTGTGGTTCCACCTTCCTGTGACATCAAGTCTTTCAGATGTATTGGTCTATCTCTTTGTGGCTGTTTTGTAGGACACTGTTGTGAGAAAATCGACTGCTGTGGTTTTCTAAATATACACAGACACTTAATAGCAATTCCCTGTGAAGCGTATTGAGATATTTCGACGTCATTGGTGCTATTTTGAAATAAAAAGGACTGTTTATTATTGGGTCCAAGGAAATCGAACGATTGAGAGCAGCACCCACTAGTGGTAACACCGATAAGACCAAGGATTCACTTTACTAATGCAATAAAAAAAACTTTGACAGAAACTAACAGTGACGCTTGTTGTAGTTGTAATAATCCCTCCAAAAAACAATAATAAATTGGTCATTTTCAATCCGCGACTGTTTGTGGGACATTGCTGTGTGCAATTGGCTGCCGCGTCCGCCCACAAATATAGTCAATTCACTTTACAGTGTGTTCTGTGAAGCGCTTTGGGATGTCCTCCCGCCGTGAAAAGCGCTACATCAAATGCATTATTATTGTTAGTTCTTACACTTCATACATTGCCTGTTCAGAGAGCACCAGATAATCAGCACCTGATCACTACAACACTTAATATTAATAATAATAAAACTTCCTTACAGTACCGTTCTTGTCAGGAATATGCCTCAAAGCATTTCACAAGATTCTACTGTAAAGTGTCGTGACTGTACGTGTTTTGTGGGCAAGCGTGGCATCCAATTTGTGCACATCAACGTCCCAGAGAGCCGTGAAGGGTGTAATAACTCACAATCCCAAACTCATGTGTGTTAGTAAGTTTCTTTATTAGCGACTCTGAACACGCCAATCTATTAACCCTAACTACAACTTGTCCCACACCCAGTGTCCTTCGTACTTCTGGTCTCATTGACTCTTTCTTAATTACCCTTTTCTTCTTAGAGATTTCCTACAAAATGAATTACCAATTTCATCCGACCAGGACACTGGGAGAACTCTTTTCAAATCGTGCCAAGGGATCTAGGGACCTGGCTAAATAGGAACCTGGTTGTTAGTCAATTGGCGGATCGCTTTCCAGGTGGTAATATTCCCTTCAAAAANTTAAATAAATAACAGTAATAATTTTGTCAACTCAATCCATGAAGGTTTGTGGGACACTGCAGTGCACAATTGGTTGCCACGTTTCAATCACAAAATGTAGTCAATCCACTTTACAGTATGTTCTGTGAAGTGTTTTGAGATGTCTCAATGACCTGATAAGGCACTATATCAAATGCAAGGATTATTATCACCATACTATATGTGCTTTTCTCAGTGAGGACCGACACCTGGGACCTCCCAGTGATAACATATCCGTTCTTTACAGGAACTCACTCATCCGGTTCAGATAAATATCACTGATTTAACAATAGGTCAACGGAAATGGTATAATAATCCTTGCATTTGAAATAGCGCTTTTCTTTTCATGTCTTCTGGACATCTCAAAGTGCTTCACGGAATATACCGAAAAGTGAACGGACTGTATATTTGTGGGCAAAATGCAGCAGCCATTTGCTCACAGCAATCCGTTGTGGATTGAGGGACCAATTTATTAGTTTTTTTTCTTGAGGGATTATCATCAGGCATGTGGAGTAAGGAAACTTGCCCAAGGTTTCGCCCTGCCGGGAGTCAAACCTGGGTCTCTCATTCGCAAGGCAAGTGCCCTAACCAGTGAGCTACAGGTATCTCCACATTTCTTTATCACTTCTACCAGTGCTGCTTTTGTCGGATTAGTCACCAGTTGTGGGACATTGCTGTGCTTAAATTGGCTGCCACAAACACCTACAAACACAGCACCCCCCCCACCCATACTTGCAGATCTCAGCCCAACCCAACAGTCACTGGGTTGAACAAATTGTGATCCTGGGACAACTACCTTCACATAAATTGCAATGTTTTTGAGTAAGGATAGGGGAGATAGGCTCTTCAACTCTGAAGCTATAGACTCCAAATAGGCATTGAACTCTACAGAAAATCCAGTGATGTGTTCTGAGAGATCGACCACATAAGGCAGGCTCTATGTCAAATGCAACAATTATGATAGCTCTGTTTAAGGGGACTGAATATTTACCGACCCTCACTGTGCTTTCCCAGTTCCTTTTAATGCAGCTCGACATCTGTACAGAATAAGAAGACCTTGAGTAGTGTTGCACCCCAACAATGCCTGTGTATGTCACTGAAGATGCAGCTCAGGCCTTTATGAAGATCCTTATGTTGCTGTCAATCGACACTTTGTGTAAACCTGTTTTAATACTCTGCTTACTTGACTTGAAGATTAGTCAGAACATTTTTTTGTATCCAACAAGTGCACAGTAAAGAAAGAATTAGCATTTTTTTAAAATGCCTCGTCATGTCAAAACATATAGAACCATCAAATGAAAGTAAAGCAGTCTTAATGCATCTGGCTACTATCATCCAGGTCAATTCAACCCAAGGAAATGTGTTCTACTTCCTGGTCATACATACACACAGATAAAGAATCTTTAGGTTAAGTAATCTTCTTGGAACTGTCCATATAGAAAACCAAGGCTCCTCAAACACCAGTGTTGATGTATCAAACATATAGGAAGCATAACATGAAACTTGAGATTTCTCTAAGTGTTAAACAGAGCAGTACTCATCGGGTGGTGGGCATGGAGATCACTATGCATAAGAGCAAGAAAGCTTTAAGGACACCATGGGTTTCAATGGTGTCAGCCACAAGCTTACAAATAGAGGGTGAGACATTTCTTGGTGATAAAGCTACCAATTTTGATGGGATGTGATTGTAATGGGAACCCATTATCAACCAAGGCAGTGACTTTACCAACAAGTGGAACGTCAGCTCACAAGTTCCATAAAGGAATAAATAGCAAATAAAAGGTTCTATTTTCAAATCCAACAGATCTTGGGTCAAATCAGGTGGTATCGGCTCGTCAACGTTCACCTCCGCAGGATACAACCTGCTTCCTAAGGAATTCTCAGAACTCCTGGAGTCTCGTTTGATCACCTCCAATAATATATAGTTACGTATCTAGTAACAGGCCACGCATGCAAAACAAGAGTGTGGGAAATTGTCCTGTGTGTGATGGCTGTCAGTGAATGTCCTTCAATTCAAAATCAGCTAAGTGAGCAAGCAAGATAATGGCCTGTACATTAATGCACAGTGAAGTCCTCTGATCGCCCTAACTTTCTGCACAGTGGGAGCAAATCCATCAATGAAGGAATACTCAGTTTGACACCTCTGAATAGGAACATCAGGAGCAAAAAGTAGAGAAAGTTAAAAAAAAAATACATTCACCACCTGGTTAAAAACAAGCAAAATATCCTTGTTTGATTAAGTTTTATTGCAAGGCCACACGTCTCCCCTTACCACAATACTAGGAGGTTCTAACAAGTCTGTTAGCAGTGTGCGTTTCCTAAAAAAATAGTGGGATCTCAGAGGGAGAGAGGGGGAGGAAAGGAAAAAAAAACAGACTACATTATTTAAAAATCACATTCTGAGATACAGTATTTACACATCATCGTCCAAAACAGACTGAATTTCTTCCAGCCAACTTTTTGTAACTCCACATAATGCATTCAATTTCATCAGGTCTCTACACACAACAGCCGGTTCAGAATTTCATTTCTCTCATTGTAGTAGAAAAGCCAGCAAAGAAAGCCTTGTGTTTAGAGAATTACAGCAACACCCCTCAGCTACCTCACAAGAGTATTAGATTAACAAAGCTGCTGGGTCAAAGCCAGTTTAAACTATAGATTGCTATAGAAAACAAAAGACAGATACTCTTTATTATACAAACTACATACAAAAGGTGTGGTTTTTTTTCTCAAAGTAATGCTCAGAGCTTCAAGCTGAAGTTTGCACAAGTTTCGGAACTGTACAAAAATAGTCAGAAATGATTTCGACGAAAATCACAAAAACCAAGCTCGGAAGTTTGCTCTCTGCAAATAATCTCGTTTCGATCAGTCACCACTGATCTTCATAGCATCATGCTGGACCGCGCTGGACACTGTATAACCAGTATAGAGCCATTATTTGGTGACTTGAAACACACTCGATCGCATTGAGAAAAAATGATCAGCACAAACTCCAATGTCATTTTCTTCATCTTCATTCCTGCCTTTGTTTCAAGTCCACATTCAAGCTCCCCACTAGAGAGATTTAACATTATATTCTTTTGTGTTCTGTAAAGTATCAGTACGTCCATAATACTCATACACTGGCAATTAGGATACATATTTAAAAAAAACCTGAAGGAGAGTAAGCAGCAGTTTGCAGCAATACTTGTCAGACTATGCTGTGGTAGGGATCTGGTTAATCACTGCCTGGGCTCTCCGTGCTTCTCCTCTGCGGAGATGAAATGCGTGCCAGTGCTGGCATGGGCTTGTTACTTCCCGGGGAATCCTCGGCCACCGATGGACTTGAAGCCTCGGCTTTCCCGGGAACCCTGATTAAGCCAAGAGGCGCCAGTTTAGGCATCGGCCTCCACAGCAGGTCGGGGGAGGTGTTGGTCAGCTCTTCTGTGCTGGAGGGTGAGGCTGGTCTCATCTGAACAAGCGGGGGAGGTGAAACGTTCATGGGCTTGTTCACATCACCAGAGACGCCAGTGGGATCTCCTTCGAAATCCAGCACACCATGATGCAGGTCATTTTGCGAATCACCTGCTAACCCACTGCCAAGCAAGTGCTCGACGCTCAAGTCCTCTCCTTCCAGCTGCAGCACAAGAGGACTTGAAGATCCCCCACTCTCCTGCCCCGCTTTCAAATCTGTGCCTCCATCCGAGCTGTCGACATCTATTAACCTGATCGGACCGTGGATCAGGGACAGTTCATCAATGCTGTCCTCATGGTTTGAGCCATCGATGAAGTTCAGTGCTTGGTGGTCAGACAGAGAAGACGTCTCGGGGTTGTCCTCATCACCAGAGAAGTGCTGGTTTAAAAAGGCGAGCTCGTTCAACAGTGAGGTAAACGTTTCATACCCCTCAGTGTCCACCATCTCGCCAGCTGTAGCTCCATTAGCTTTTAAGAGCGGTTCTCCGAACTGAGAGGACGTAGAATCCAGTTCTGTGTCCTGTGTGCTGTCCTGCTCAGCAGCTTTCTCTGCGCTGCAGCCGTGCACCCTTGCCTGAACTTCCAGTTTATCTCCCAGTAACATTTCAGTGATAGACGGGGACTTGCTTGAACCTGCCTTTTCAGTCCATTTTTGCCTTGCACAAGACTCTACGTCTCCGCCAGGCAAACCAGAGAGATCCAACGCCTTGGATGCGTCACTGATGCCAGCGTTCAGCTTGCGGGAGGTTGCAGTCTCCTCGGTTTGCAGATGGATAGGTTCTGATGGATCCAGAGGCACAATGAGAATTGGTCCGGACTCCCTTTCCCGAAACTCCTTAGCTCTCCGGGATTTATTCTCAGATTCTGAGGTGGCTGCTCTCCCAGTGGTGGAACTACTCTGCCCTTGTGAGACAGGCTGTTTCTTCCATTTCATACTGAAGTCCAGAGGCTCTGTGGAGTGGCTCAACTCTTCACCCCCCAGTTCCAGATCCAAGAAAGGGTCTTCTGAGCAGGCGAGCGACGTAACATTCACGATTCTAGGCATCATGAAGGAAGATGCTTCATCATCTGTAATGGGAGACGGAAATCAATTAAGATGTTGCATCGGAAAGCTCATCTCCAGTTGCACTTAATATGAACTCGTTTTACGTGGATTTTGAGTTGAGTGAATACTTTTGAGTGTATAGAAAGGGGTTTAAAAGGGGGGAAATGAAGGGCAACAGATCATGAGAGTGATTTGCATCAATACAAACATCCTTCCCATCACTCCCACATTCACAAAACCGAAGCTTCTGCTTTTTTCACGGGAGCTTTTCCACTTATTGAATCTGAAATATCTCCCAATATCTATTGCGTAAGCAATCGTTCAAGCTAAATCTTTTCAGTGCCTATGTCAACTCCCCTCCCGCAACAACAGTTGTACGCAGGGCCTAAGGCCTCCTCCCGAGTCAGACCTCAATGCTTCTTTTTCTTCTTCCAAGAGGGAAGCAACAATACAGACCGATGTGATACAGGGCAAACACACACAACATAAAACTGGTGCTAAGTGGGGAGCTCACAGATGAACGAGGAAGATGTAACATTTCTTCCACTACAAATGAACTGTAGTACAAAGTAGTACAATATAGTCAGTCAACAATTCCTAAAAGTAATCCTGCAGCCACCTTAACACAGAAACTCCAAACCATTACAGGCAGTGAGTTCCAGAGGTCGATTTAACAGCACATCTTCGCAAAAAATACAGGACTACATAACGACTGGCCGGTCAAACATTTATAACTAAAATCCATGATGAGAAAGGGGAGGAATGAGAGCGGTGTCTTACCTTCTTCGGATTGCAGTTGGGCTACCTTTTGCCGTGCTGACTCAACTGAATGAACTCTCGTTACACCCACTGCAGGAGTGAGGATTGTTGAGGGCAACGATGGTGAACTGAGCGGCAAGTGAGTGGCGACGGCCAAGTTGTTTACCTGAAGTGGAAGTTGCAAGCTTTGGAGTTGGATTGTAACTGAAGCAATGCCTAAGAGAGGGAGAGTTAGTTTTCAAGATTTTACTAACACAAGCTGAGGACAACCTTGCCAATAATCTAATTCTTGGACTGAAGTTAAAATTTACTCTACAAGACCCAATGGGATAAAGATATCAGATATTGAAGAACTACCACAGGCATCATTTCCACACAGACAGTGGACAAAGAAATTATAATGTTGGAATGGAAGAATACAATAACGTGCATTGACATAGCACCCCTCACACAGGATAGCGCCCCGGAGTCATTGACAGTAGCGGAGCACATCACCGAGCTGGGGACCGGAGGGGAGGTGAACATGACCATAGGCGTCGACAAAAAGGTAGGTCTTCAGGCGCAACCTGAAGATGGTAAAGGAAGTGGCAAGGCAGAGGGATTGAGAGGGAGAGTTCCAGAGTTTCAGGGTGTAGTGGCGGAAAGCTCAGCCAACGATGGTGGGAGGGTATGAGGGACAAGAAAGAGGCCGGAATAAGCACCCTCCGCTCCAGCCACATGCACTTCAGCACTGGATCATCTTTAAGTGCCTCTGGGACACTTGCTTTAATAAATGCACTGTATATCTGTAAATCAGAACAGGAGTTTCAAGGCCTGTCTCAAACACACCATATTACCTGGAATCCCTGACATGGGAACACTGGGTGGTACCATCGGGGCCGTGGGTATGATTCTCTCAGCTGAGAAGACAGAGTGACCAGGTAAAATAGAGCCTTTCAGAGTCAGAACCTGACCCTGTGCTGTCATCAGCAAACTGCCAGGAGCCAGAGAAACAGAAGAACCTGGGAAACAAACATACAAAACCCTATAAACAAACACCGCACAGCAAATGAGTGTCTCTAAACATCACACATTCTGGGCTCGAGGACCACAAAACGTGTGCACGAACAAAACCTTTCCTCGGTATTTGCTAAGCACGTCAGTAAAACTGCACTCTACTTTAGATCCAGGTAACCAACCCATATTGATGCAACAGAAGTGAACAACAGTGATTGCGCATTCTTAACCAGAGAATAATTTTGCTGGCACCATAAGGGTGCCCTGCTTCGCCGTTGTTGCATTCATGCCGTACTTTGAACGCTGAGAAGTACTTACTGGGAGTGGGCAGCAATCTCTTTCTGCTGAGAATAAGGGGTTTGTGGGTGCCAACGTCCACTCTCTTTTCACTTGGAAGTACGGTGACATTGGGAGGCTTCTGGGACTGGAGGTCCGCTGCCACCTGCTGGAGAGAGTCCGTAGGTGCGGGCGAGCCCTGTGCTTCTTTCCAGCTGCCCTGACGTGGCCTTGGTGTGCCCCCTTCCTGCTGCGAGTGGCTGCTTTTATTCTGAACATCCAGCGCTCTCTGCTTAGCGCAAATATATTCCAGCTTCTTCAAAATGACCTCCTCGGTCTTTCCTAATGAAAGGGGATTAAAATGGTCACTCAGAACGGACGGGAGAGTAGTTACAGCAGTGTTCGGATGCACTAGATAACCATCACTGCACCTTGCGCTTGCCCTCTTACAGTTCTCCGCAGGATTTGCTGCAAAGTGTAGTTGTGTATTTTGTAAGTAAATGCAACAGCAACTTTCATTTATACAATATAAGTGGCAACTCGGGGCATTTAACACCAGTTGTAGTTTTGACACCGAGCTGGAAAGAGGTGTGATCTGAAGATGGGCAAAGAGCAGCAATTTGCACACAGCAAATGTCCCACAAACCGCCATGAAGTGAATGGTCAACTGTTATTGTCAAGACAGCGAGTGTAACAAACTTCTGCAAGTGTTTCGCTCTCTATATTACCCATAAAAATAGCTTCCCAATCACTGCAAAGTGCATTCAGATCTGGATTTTACCCAAGTACAAAAAAAAACCTTATTCCAAACCTACACAAAGAGGGGAGAACATGAGATCTTCTGATCAGCTGATTGCTTACCTGTCATGAGGGCGACCTTGCGAGTGAGTAGATCCCGTCTGCGAGTCTGAATACTTCTCTCAGCTGCAAGGCGATCACAATCATCCTGAAGGTGCTGGATTTCACCAAATGCCTAGAGAGCAGAAATTATTTATCTTCTGACTCGCAAACTATTCACCGCAGAGCCATTCTGACAATACAGGAAGGTAGCTTACAGAGAACCAATGCCGTTCTGTTCTGTAAAATGTTGTGACAGGGTGCCACTTGTTCTTCTCCCAAACAGGCCCAATGTCTCTTCGGATTCACACATTCCTACAGATGTCAATGGGAAGGAAATATTTGGGATACTGAACCTGTTCCGCTATTTTATTAGAACATGGCAGATATTTTACCTCCATTTGCCTGTCTTTTCTCCATACTCAATACCCTCACTTTTCTCAATGACGTCTTAATATTCTCTCACCGCCCAAAAATTCATCCCTCTCTGCAACCCGTGTTTATGGCCTTCTATATTCCAACTGGTTTACTTCTAATTTTAAGAAAGACAACTAACGACTCTCCCATCAGGGCAGAGGTAACTCGGGTCACTTTTGAGTTGAGTTAGTTCCAAGGTACCACGTGCGGCAAAAGAAGATAAAAATCAAATAAAATTTTTTGTTCCGATATCTGTGCCAATGATGATGGGCGGACAGCCAGACAGTTAACAAGACTTAGAGGTGCAGATTAGTCACTGGGAGCAGGGATTCGCTTGGCTCCAGTCTTCCTATAACCAAAGCCCTGATGACCAGGCTGATGATCCTAGGTGGACAAGCAGCATGAAGCTTCTCACTGCTGTACACGTGTGTAGTTTTAGTTGGCTAAACTTCATTAGTATACCAATACATACTCTGGGATCCCCAAGCACTGTCTGTTTCCAACATTTCCAACATAAAGTCTCCAGGAATAGATAATTCCCAGAGGAAGAGTGCGGAATCCATACCAGGAAACAGAAACCATATATACGTGGAACTCTGCTGTTTGATTGAGAGCACGGTATTGGGTTTCAGAGTGTATCAGATACCAGTCTAATAAAAAATAAACTACTTTTTGTAAGACCCTAATCTAGCCCGTCAAAGTGAGTTAGTTCTGAGTGAAAAAGATATCATTAGTAAGTGGTTGAATATTTTGCCCTGGCATTTTAAAGCTTACAAACCTGTTTCAAAATATAATACTTGGATGTTTTCAGGTCTTTGCAGAGTCCAAGAGTTCTCTTCAATCTCTCAAAGAGGTTTCTCATCTCAAAGCGCCTTCGCCGTTCGTTCACAGTGTGCGCTGTCCGGTACACCACCAAAGCATCCAATTGTGCCTTCACCTCCTTGCTGAGGTGAGCGTTGGGTTTCTAAACAAAAGGGAGCAACTTTAGTAAATGTTTTAATACAAAGCAATTCAATGGTTGACAAATAGGCTGACAGTGCAGTGCTGGATAGCATTGTTGGAGGTTCCGTCCTTTGATTGAGATGTTTTGCCCACAAAATATAAAGTCAATTCACTTCAATTATATTCTGTGAAGAGCTTGAGACGTCTCGAAGGCGTGATAAGACGCTATATCAAATGCAAGGATTATGACTATGTTAATGACAGCCTGTTCAGGTGGACGTTAAAGATCCCGAGGAACAGTTTGTAAAATAATTTCTCCCAGTGTCCTGGCCTTAATCCCCCGGATAAAAATGTAGATTCAATCTATGACTGTTTGCAGGACTTTGTACAGAAATTTGCTGCCCATTCACCTATAAAATACAGTCACTTCACTTTACAGTAAACCCTGCAAAGCGCTTTGAGACCTCCACCTAACGTGAATTACACTATATCAAATACAAGGATTATTATTAAAGATAAAATGAAAATCTCAATGTTCAATAATTAACAATGACTAATAAAATAAGATTCATTATCTCAAATTAATACCAACCTCCTCCTGCACTGGATACAGTAGACAGATTTTATTAGCTAGAATTTTCAGACTAGTTCTCCTAGTCTCCTCTATCAACACACAACTTCTCAAGGTTCAGCCAATCTTCTCCCTCCCCCAAAGTAACAGACATTAGTAATCCTCTGCAGATTTAGACACTGGCTCCTTTTCGCTCTCCTCCCCATCCCACCACCACAATATTATCCTATTCAGATTCAGAGCCCCATCTCTTCAAAACCAATCCTCTCCAGAATGCAATATACCTGTTCCTGGGGCTTGGAGTCCTCCTCCTTGGAATGGTTTGCAAGGTACGGATTGTGGAAATGGCATCTGAAGGCAAAGGAATACAAGATCATTTTGAGGCTGCTTTGACCAGTTACAATAAAAACCTAGCTGCAGAAAAAACCTTGCTTTTAATACAGCTTGATCAATGAGGTCCAAAAAAATCCGAACTGATGTTTGGGTTCCAATTTAATTTCTCCCAGATATGATGCTGTAGCACTCTATGATTCCTACAGAACTCTATTGTTTGCATAAACTGCCTGAACCATACACATTGTGCTTCCCCGCAGACCACTGCCTTGTGCTTCGTTCTTTCAACAAAGGGTTAGTCTATGTTCAGAAGTTACCATTTGAGGGCCACAGGCATAAGCCTACATCCTGTCCACATAAAGGCTTGTGTATGATGTCCCCACAGTCAACCATTCTGTTCACTCACATTCTATACTCACTTATAAAGAATATCACTTGGGTGAGTAACTAGTCAACAGTGGAAGCCACCAGGGGAGAAAGTTGATGGGGATAGTATTTTATGCTTTTGGTCATTTCCTATAACATGGATTATAAATATTTATGTATAGAAATTATCAGGACATTCTTCTTCTTAAAAGATAATGACACAATGTGAGAACGACACCGATTTAACAATCTCCTGTAGAGTAGCGCTCCTGCCATTTTGACAGAGAACACCATTTGTACCAGGAAGGGAAAATGGCACACAGTAAGATGAGTGTTTGCCTGTTCGCAACCAGTTCACACTTTGCAACACAGATGAATTTGCCATTCTAGCTCACCTGGAGGGAACCTGGGGTATACTTAGCTACACAATCGGGTGGGGCAAGGGAGAGTCCATTTCCAAAGAGAATGTTTGAAAGTATTCGAAGAGTAAAGCAAGTGAGCAGGAGAATGGGAGTAGTCTTGGTTGCATATGAGAAATACAGCACCAACACAGACTTGATGAGCCAAATGACCCATGCCTGTGCTGTGACATTTGATTTCTGGACGGGACGAAACCTTAGGCAGGATTTGTTACTCCAAACACCTCCATCTACCTCACAGTAACTAGGAACCCGGTTGTTAGTTGATTGGCAGATCGCTTTCGGGGATAATAATCCCCCCCCAAAAATAAGAAGAATTTGGTCACTCAATCCATGACTGTTTCTGGGATACCGCTGTGCACAATTGGCTGCCTCATTTCACCCACAAAAATATACAGTCAATTCATTTTACAATACATTCTGCGAAGCGTGTTGAGATGGTCTCAACAATGTAATAAGGCACTATATCAAATGCAAGGATTCTTATTATTACTTTGATTTGGTCTGGTGACGGGAAGCGGAAGCGATAAGACGAGCAATGTTGATCTTTTCGGAGAGTTCCTCCACCGTCTCGATATCCACCGCTTCATCATTGGAGCACGAATCATACTGTAAAATAATAAGTGCAGAACCTCAGCATTCTGGCTTGAGCCAATCTTCCCTCATTCATGTATGTATCAGGCATATCGGAAGGACAGTGTCTCCAAAAGCTGAAAATCTCAACATGCTTGAACTCACAATCTTCCAACATGTTTCCCGTGGCAACACAACCAACCCCAGCCAAAGTAAAGAGGGGCTGACACGAAAAGGGTTGCTAGGAACCTACAGATGTCATTGTAGGTTGCCTGTTCTCAAATCTCTTCATTGGTGTCACATTCGAGATATAGCCATTACATTATAATTAATTAGTGATAGAACTCACCATATCCTCTGCATCACTTGGGACCTCCATATCATCCATGTCATTTTGAAGCTCTGGATCCAATTCAAAATCCAGGGTGGCCGAATGCTCTTGCCCATCTTCGCTCTCAAGCCCCAGAAAGTCTTCATCCCCTGAATCTTTCAGGCTCTCCTCACGGAATTTAGAGGCAGCATTGGCAGTTGCTGCCCGTAAATATTCTTCTGCTTCACTCATTACTTCAACCTCCATATTCTCACTGATCAACCAATCTTTCTCCACTGCTGCCCCCGCCTCCTCTCCACCGGGCACAAGCTGAGATTTCTGTCTGGTTTCTGCTTCCTCCTCCTGAGACTCAGTTTCCTTTTCTGTTGAGAGCTTCTCGCTGGTGTACGAATGGTCAACCAGCTCGGCCGGGGTTGGTTTCTCCAGCTCGGAATTCTGGTCTGCTGAGTCATCTTCCAACTCATCGCCCACTTCACCATGAGACGGTGTTGAAGAAGCCGTATGGCTTGCCACACCTCCCGGGTTAACTTCAGCCGAGGGCTCCACTTTTACAGTTGTCTCGATAAGCTCAGAAGCTGCCGGGCAAATCTCTTCCAAACCAACCTCGATCGACTCTTCCCCTAGGGTACTGCTGCTCTTCAGGCAGACATCACTCTCCGGTTTAATTTTCAGACCAATGTCGCTAGTCATTTCAGCCAAATGTGCAGAGGGCATGGGATTCACAAACTTCATTGAACCAGAAGTTATGATGGTGGTTGGCAGGATTTTTTGGCCCGTTGAGGGTAACTTCAGCAAGGCAAAACCACACGGCTGAAGCTTGACCATACCTTGGTTGGTGATAGGTTGGACTCCTGCGTTCACAGTTACAAACGTTGCCTGTGGGGTTGTTGTCGCAACTGGTGTCCCAATGGAGGGAGCAGATGTAGGAACAGCGGCAAGCTTTAGCATTATGGTGCTGGGGGGTGGAGTAGAAACAGAGAGAACAGCAGAACCAACAGTGGGAGCAACAGTGGGAACAGGAGCAACAGTGGGAGAAACAGTGGGAACAGGAGCAACAGTGGGAGCAACAGTGGGAACAGGAGCAACAGTGGGAACAGGAGCAACAGTGGGAACAGGAGCAACAGTGGGAACAGGAGCAACAGTGGGAACAGGAGCAACAGTGGGAACAGGAGCAACAGTGGGAACAGGAGCAACAGTGGGAACAGGAGCAACAGTGGGAACAGGAGCAACAGTGGGAGCAACAGTGGGAACAGGAGCAACAGTGGGAACAGGAGCAACAGTGGGAGCAACAGTGGGAACAGGAGAAACAGTGGGAGCAACAGTGGGAACAGGAGAAACAGTGGGAGCAACAGTGGGAGCAGGAGCAACAGTGGGAGCAACAGTGGGAGCAGGAGCAACAGTGGGAGCAGGAGCAACAGTGGGAGCAACAGTGGGAGCAACAGTGGGAGCAGGAGCAATAGTGGGAGGAACATTGGGAAGAATTCGTGGGCGTCCTCTTGTTGGTATAGTTCCTTGATGAACCACAAGAGGTGGTGTGTTATTGACAGGAGGAGCAGGAGGGACTACAGCATAGGTCTTGACTGGCGTGGGAAAGCGGACTGCACTCACTGAGCCTGTAGCTGGGGAGGAAAGTTGGAGCAAATATTCCAAGATTAGGACTTGCGAAAACAATGGACATTAGGGTATGGCACAGGATTATTTTAAATAAACTAGATAGAGGCAGACTAAATATTACATTGTAGATAGAATGCAAGAATGAAGAAGAGTTGTAACACGTGTAACACCACAAAAAGTTACTGCTTGCACATTACAGGTGTCATCAGGCTCTTTGGCAATACCAGCCCATTCATATTACACTGATGCCGGGGACTATGCACAGAGCGGCATGCAAACAAAGACTTTTTTTTCTGACATATGCAGAAACCCATCACCATGCTTAAGAATATCTAAACCAAGCTGAGATTTCCAGGCATCCCACCTACACATGGAAATTCCACAGATAGATTGTTGGGTTGAAATGCGCACTCTCTCCCTGGAGGGATGCTTCCTGCTTAGCTAATTCCAGGAAGTATTAGGAGCAGGTTGGCAAGAGCCAAGGCTTGGGGACCCCAGTGTGTGTTGGGGTAATCGCTGGAGTCTAACTGCCCATCCAACACGCACTCTGTATCAGACTCATTGTCATGTACAACACATACACATTCAGTACTTGTCTCACCTGGATTGCGTATGGCAGCTGTAAATAACTGGTGGAGTTTGGGTCGGTTCCCAGGATTAGCGATTCGTAAAGGCACAAGCTGGATGATTTGACCATTTGGGTGCTTGAAGAGGTTCCCACCTGGGCAGCGGAGGGGCTGCAGAACAATCTTCTGGTCAGGTGTGAGTTGCAGGTTCTGGACAGGCTTAACAGGGGCAGTGCCGGACTGCATCGGGATTAGAAGCATGCGTGGCCCTGCCGATTTCTTTGATTTGGACAGAATGGCTGGAATAAAGGGAGCATTTTCTTGCTTTCCATGAGTTCCAGCTGCAAGAGAGACGAGCGCAAATATCACAGCAGCCTTCCACGCAAGTACTGTGACTTACTGTTTAATCAGTCACACAACAGATTCCTAGATAATAATAATCCTTGCATTTGATATAGCGCTTTTCATGTCTTCTAGATGTCTCAAAGGGTTTCACGGAATAAAGTAAATTGAATACATATTTGTGGGCGAAACGCAGCAGCGGCAGAGCTACAGATAATGGAATCTAGGAAGCAACAACTCATCACAGAGAACAGGATTCCTGTGATGTGCTTATAATAATCCTTGTATAGTATTTAATATATCGCCTTATTCAAAATAAGCATGGTTAAGAGAGAATAGAGTTGAGATACTATGGGGAAAAAAATAGGACTATAGATAGGATCTAGATACTCTTATAGAGTATGACACCAGGACTGGATAGGCTGAATGGCCTATTTCTGAATTGTACTCTCTGGTTTGCCGACAAAATACAGTTACAATCTGTATAGCTAATCATATGGAATGCTTTGAGAAGCCTTCCTGAGGTGAAAGGCACTATATAAAATGTACAATTTGGGAAGGGTTTGTAGAACCAACACAAGTTCAAAGATTAAAAAAAATTGGTCACTCAATCCACGACTGTTTGTAGGACACTGTAGTGCGCACTTGGCTACTACGTTTCGCCTACAAAGTATGCAGTATACACTTTACAGAAAATTCTGTGAAGCGCTATGTCTCAAAGACATGATAAGGCGCTATATCAAATGTAAGGATTATCATTATAATTATTATATTAAAACACTTTCAGCAAAGATTTGAGATTCTCACTGGCACTTCCAGGACCAACACTAATACTAGAAATATGATTGAGGAAACAGAAGGCCTGCAAAGTGGGTAACTATATGGTGAAAAAGTGTGAGATCATAGGTAAACCACACTTAGTCAGCTGCTTCCACTCACACCTTCAACAACAACAAATTACACTTGTATAGCACCATTCACGTCGCAAAGACGCCCAGGGTGCTGGACAATCAGGGGTTTTGGACCTAAGCTGAGAGTTGGGGTCAGGAGGGGTGGAGGGCAGGGCAGGTGGGGGTAGGAGAGTGGCCGAAGGCACAGTCAAAGAGAAAGGTCTTTGGACGGGACTTGAAGGAGGCAAGAGAGGGGGTGCGGTGGAGGGATTGCGGGATAAGAGTTCCAGAGTGTGGAGGCAGCGATGCTGAATGTCCGACTACCAATCGTGTGATGGGATGTGTGGGGGACCTGAAGCAGCCTGGTGTCCGTCAAGCGGAGGGAGCGGACAGGTTGATAGGGGGTTAGGAGGTCGCAGAGGTAGGGGGGAGTAAGACCATGGAGGGCTTTGAAGGTGAGAACGAGGATTTTTAAACTCGATTCTCTGAGGGACATTAAGCATCTGAGACCACTAAAAAGAGAAGACAGTTTCTCCCAATGTCCTGGCCAACATTCCTAGAGGACAATTGGTCATTGACCTCAAAGGCTGTTTGAGTGACCTTGCTGCATGCAAATGGTAGCTGTGTTTGCCTACAAAAACACCACAGTAATTTCTGTAAAATGTTTGAGGCATTTCAACTTGAGATGTCAAAATACAAGTGTGTTTTTTCTTTAAATCTAATTCAAATGCATCATCCACTAGGCAAACCCAAATGGAACTTACTTGTCTTGTTTGATGGTGGTAGGAATGACATGACAGTGGTTGTTGAAGGAACAGTATTAGTCAGACTGGCAGAATTGGGGGAGAGCACCGGAGTTAACATGGGTGTTGTCCTGACTCCAGAGGCACTCACAGAAATCACTGCAAACAGCATTGGTGCTGTACTTTTTCCTGCAGTGTCAGCAGCCGTCACGTCTTCTGCAGTTCTGTTGGCTCCAGTCACAACAGAGGAATGTCGAGCCTCTGTCCCCACTGCAGCAGTCTCAGAACACTTAGATGAAGTGGACTTAGTGGAGATGGTGGTTGTGCTGCTGCCTGACTGACCAGCTGTAGGGCCCGAGGTAGTTGTTACAAATGACACTCCTGTTCTTACAGCTGACACTGCTGCTGACTGAGCAGAATCAGCTGGTGTAGTAGTGATGATAATGGTGGATTTGGACACAGAACTCCCAATCTGCTGTACGGAGGCCCCTGGTTGCAATGAAGTGAAGCAGGGTCCTGTCCTTTGCTCAAGTTTATCAAATTCAAGGCGAGTATAACTGGCTGGTGGAGTCTTGATCTCTGCAGTTATCAATAAGGTACAGATATTAAAAGCAAGAAAAAAAACACTAATTTTATTGACTCATTGTCAATGGTGACAAAATACATTAAATTTCGCCCTCAAAATACAGTCAATCCACTTTACAATATATTCCATGAAGCGCTTTGAGACATAACAAAGACGTGATAAGGCGCTATATCAAATGCAAGAATTATTATATCAAAGAAAGTAAGACAAAGACTTTTCCACTTCAAGCACTCAGTCTCATATCCGGTCATAGGTCAGGATATGTAAAGTACAACTGCCTCTGATCTTTCCCGACACCGCGCCACAATTCCAAAGAGAACATCACCTGCTTACTGTACCAGCAAGACATTCCCTTTCACATGCCTGTCTCCAATAACAATATTCACTTAATTTCTAATTTATTTCATTCAGTAAAGCGCTTTGGAGATGCTTTTACAGGGAGGGGTGCTTCTTAAATGTTAAATTAACTGAAGGCAAAATCCTGCAGATGCTGGAAATCTGAAATAAAAACAGAAGTCGCTGGGAACATTTATGGTTAGAAGAGGAAAGTGGTTTAACACTTCAGATCGATGACCTTTCGTCAGAGTTCTGCCGAAAGGCCATCGACCTGAAACGCTAACCCACTTTCCTCTTCTCTCCATAAATGCTGCCTGGCCTGCTGAATGACCCCAGCGACTTCTGGCTTTTGTTTCAAATGTTAAATGAACTTCGTTTTCTTTGGGACTTACCTTCGAGTTGAAGCGATACTTGGGCGGCAGGAGATGTGCGGCGTGTGGACCTTCTGCTAGCGAACAACGGCTGTTTGGGGGAAGGACGATCCAATACCAAGGAGACAGCCGCACTCAGTGATGACTTCTCGAGCAGTTGAGATGAACTCAGTTTCCCGACAACAATGGCAGCAACTTGATTGGCTGTGTGAAGTGCACCCATGTGTCCCAACAACAATTTTGTCTGTATGCTGGTGTTTCCTTCAATCTAAGCAGAAGGCAAGATACAGACACAGCAAGTCAGAGACAACGAACCCCACATACTACTCAGAGAGCTCTAATTACTGGACCAATCTTTGTGCCATTTTCATGTCGTCACTCCTTCCCTTTCATGTCGTCACTCCTTCCCTAATTCAAAGTCTCAAGATGTATCTCTTTGACCATGTTTCTTTCCCACCACCCACCCCCCCATCCCCTTCAGCTCCCATGCCCAGTCAGCAGTGTTGAGCGCTTTGCGATGTCCTCCCGACGTGAAAGGTGTAAATGTAAATTTGTATTGTAGTGAAAACAGAAAATAGGAGCCCCACTTGAGTACATGTCCTGCAGTTATAATCACCAACAAAAACCATCCTAACCAAGATGAAAGTTGATTAAATCTACTACTCAGGGAGACCAAAGCATATCAGCAAGGGAAATTTGGCAGCAAAAGTATTTGGAATAAGCAATCTTTGGGCAATTGAAGCAGTAGTGTTGAATTGGCCCAAAGGCGCTCACAGCCGCACTGGTAGGACTCACATCTGAAACTGTTGCTGCTAAGTCACCCTCACCTACTCGACTCTGTCACCCATGTATTAAATCAGTACAAATGAGTGAGATTTACTCACAAAAAGCAAGTTCCCGCTGGAGAGGGGAGCCCCTTTCTTCGTGGGGTTTGGGAAGAGGGAGGGGAGGGGGAAGAAAACAGTGGTCTATGATTTAGTGCTAGGCTTACTTCTCCCCATTTTCTGCTTATTACCCTCAGGGCTTACTGTTTCATCCACAAAATACACTTTACAGTACATCCTGTGAGGCGCTTTGCAACATCTCAACGACACGATAAGGCGCTTTATCAAATGCAAGGATTATTATTTTTATTGTATTAAATGGGTAATGAGCAAAATACCAATGACAAAAAGCGTGGTATGTGAAGCATACAGATTATCTATAAAGAGCATATTGTCTATGTCTATTATGTACACTTGGTAAGATAAATATAATTTCTAATTTGTAATAAATGTTCAATATTTCTTAACCGGTCTGCCACTCACTTACTTGTAAAACATGCACCACGCTAAACACTTATGTTACACGAATGATATAATTTCAATGCTGAGGGACACTATATAAATGCAAGTTATTGTTGATATTTGTTAAGAGAGATCACTGATTATTCTCTTTCCCCTACCACACACCTCAATCATGCCACATTTCCCCAAATTGCTAGAGGATACTTCGCCGGGCTTTGCCTTGAATTTTGAACGTAAATAGTTGTAGAATGAGAATCCTTTCCCTCCGGATTTACTGATGCTCGGTAAAAATTGCTTCTCTTTGGGAGCCATCAGTTGACTGTTAGTCGGTGGACGTTTAATCTGGTCCTTGGAGGATGTGGAAATTCTCTCAACGGATACTGTGTGAGCTGAGAATTTCCCATCTTTTCCTCGGTCATTGAGCTGTGATATCTTCACCTTGGAGTTGAAAACAGGACCGTGTCGAGTGAAAGAGGCTCCATCATTCTCAGTATTTGATACAATCTCAAGAACGAAGTTTCCAATGCTGACTTTCTCTACCGATTTCAGGCTGGCACTCTGTCGGGCAATAACGCCGAGGATCTTGGAACGCTCCCCCTCCCAGTCACAATCGGAAATGATCTCAATCAATTTGGTTTCGCTCTTGGAGTCTGGAAAGTATTCATTCTCTCTTACTTCTCCTGGACTTGAATAATCAAGATAATCATCAGCATGTGGAGAACCATCAGCCTGAGGTGAATCATCAGCCTGAGGAGCATGGTCAGTGCTCTCAGCTTCCTGCAATGCCTGTACCTCAGCAATGCATGGGGACTTTGAACTCCTCTCTGTCAAGTTCTCTGATTGTCCTGAAAAAAAGCCCGAAAGCAATTGATTTTATTTGATGTGATAAGCTGGAGACAAAAAAGACATTGATATGTTCATCTGCAAAAGGCAAACTGGTCTAAAGATTCTCTCGCTGATCACTGAAAACAGTCTTTGAATCTAAACAAACATATTTTGTAATAAAGGAAAGTAGCTCTTAGCTTAAACTGATCAACGGTGTGAAAGTGAAAAATGGGAGCCAAACTCGGTTTATTGCTCAACCCAGCAAGACACCCTGAAAACAGAGCGATAGGAATTTCTTACAGGGCAGGAAAATCCCAACAGCCCAGAGGTATTTGGACTTAATCTTTGAGTGTGTAGATGATGCTAAAATGAAGAAAATGTTTTTCTTTTGATATAGGAAACTGGAGACATACTGAAACATAGATATCGGCCTCAGTAGAAACAAACAGAACATGAGTTACAGCATAAGCTCTTTCATTCTTTGCACACAGTCCTGCCCTTTAACAGAAATTAATAGCCCCAAAGCTGGCCAAACAAACAGCATACTGGGATTCAATACACATCAAATGCTAAAAATTATTCGTTCATATATTAATGTCATTATTTGACATTTTCATGTGCGTCATACTCCCTGAACATCCTTACATAGATTGTACTGCACAGAAACAGATGATTTGGCCCGACTAGTCCATGCTGGTGTTTATACTCCACGAGTCTTCACCCACTCCTTACTGTCTCAACTGTATATCTAGTTTCCTCTTAAATGCATCTATGTTTGCTTTCAACTAGCAAGCTGCATGAATAGACGTCAATGTTGTTTAGCCTGCCAGTGCAGTGCAGCATCCAATAGGCTCACTATTATGTGGAACTTGTGGGTAATGGTGACTTAACTCATGCTTAGGTCCTACAGTTCCATCTGCACAAACACCCCCTCATCCCACCTTTCATTTCACTACTATCTATCAGGGATTAGTACATACAATATTTTTATAAAGAAAATATTTTACCTTCTGTGTTGTCAGATGGCTGCTTTAATTTACATGGACTGCTCTTTCCACTGTCAGTCACCTTACTGGGTGTGTTGTTTTCCTAGAAACATCAAGACAGATAATCTTGAACACCCTCATAGAAACAAAGTGGCATCAATCAGTAAAGTGGGAGCCTGGCTGAAACTTAGAATTAAACGCGCACATCAAGAAATTTGGGACAAAGAGCTCACTCATTTTAAATCCATCCCAAGGCACTGGCACTGTACCTGTTCATGTGTGACATTCAGATACACAAGTTGTTTAATACTTGACATAAGTTCCTTATTACTCTACGTGCTTTATATATGAACCACAGACATAACACAGACAAACTACAAATGAGTAGATTCTTCCCTCTCACCATGTGTTAGCAGAAGATCATTAATGCTGTGTAATAATCTAGAAGTGCTTCAGAGCGAGGCATAAGCAGAGGTTATCTTGACCACATAAAGTTATTGATACAATTACTGTCTTGTAATATATCTCCCAACCCAACAATGTAATACATTCAGCCACTATGCCCCCAAACTTCAGAACTCTCTCCCTCAATCCCTCCGCTTTGCCCCCTCCTTCCCCCTTTTTCCTGATCACATCTGAAGACCTTCCTCTCCGACCTTGCTTAGAGTCACCTCCTCCCTCCCCCCGGCTTGGCATCAGGCTCTGCCACTGTTAAGCGCTCCGAGACCCTGCCCTGCACGAAAGGCAGTATATAAATGCAAGTTGTTGTTGCTGTTGCAGTAACAGGTACCCCTCACCTGTACTACAGATGATGTAACAATGTTTCAACATCTAGGTACCCCTCACCTGTACGACAGGAGATCTAACAGTGTTGCAAGTACAGAGGTACAGGAGTACAGTTTAATTACCCGCCCACAGGAGTGCTTTGAGACGCAGGTGCAGTTCATTGTCCTCTCAACTTGCTTGCGTTCGAAGACTCGCACTCGTGCACACGTCATCATGCTCTCAAAGTACAAGTACACTGGGTCCTTCTCGTCTTCAGCCTCGAAGAGAGGCAGAAATAAAAGAACATTTTAAACAGTCCATCCAGGAGATGAATCCTTCAAATGCTGAACACAATGTAGATCCAGTTTGCACTTGTGTGTGTAATACATAAATTATAGTGCGATTCTCTTGGTCTGCCTCACTGGAACCTCGGGCTCATAGACTTCCTCTCTCAACCTCATACTGCCATTTCAAACCAGCATGGAAAAAAACTCTCACAAGTTATACACACAGTTACAGATCACATTTCACCCCAAATATTTCAGTCCTGATGGGGGTCAGCAGAATGCAGTTATTTGGTGTATGGATATACAATACTTCGCTGTACACATAACCAGTAAGTAGCTTGCCAACTCTGATCAACTGCCTGGCACCTCAGATAGAATACAGAAGGCATGTTGGAGTCTATTATATGCTTATCATTAAAAAAATGGGATCTTTTGATCACATTACATTGCCTGGGAGAGCTCTTGTACATACAACACACCCAGTATGGAAAGTGCAAGACCCCACAGGTTAAATGCCACTAATGTAGACGTAGGGATTGACGACAACTTCCATTGATAGCATCCCTTTCACATTAAGCTTCTGTTACTGAGATCAATTAGAATTGAAGTGAATGTTACTTAGGAAATCACAGCAGTTAACTTGTATCAACGATGCATTACAAATAGGTTTACAAGAATGTTCCCAGGGATGAGTGGATACAGCTATCAAGAAAAACCTGTTGCAGCTTTTACTCTCTAGAGTTGAAACGAATGAGAAGGGGCTCTGATAGGTGTTTCAAAATATGAAAGGATTTGATAAGATGGATGTTGCCGGGCTATTTCCACTTGTTGGAAGTCGAGTAGCAGATAAGAATTTTAAGAGGAACTTCCTCAATATGTCGTTTCCCAAAGGGGAAGGTGGGAGGTTTAATAAATTTGGATCATTTTGTAAATCCAGCTTGAAATTGCTAACTAACCTATTAACCTGTGTGTAGGTACACAATTTCCAACTCCTCCACATATCCTGCTTACCTCGGAATGCTTTGAGGAGTCAGAGGGTGTTGACACCACTGTGTTCTCCTCTGTGGAGTCACCAGACTCTTTTGGACTAAATGGAGATGATGGCTGGGACACAGAGGAACACTTGCTAGTGTGAAGCGATTCCACGTTAGGTGTGGTGTACACTGGCTCCGGATCCACCTCTCCCTCCTGGCGTATCCACAGCGGAAATGTGCGCACAGGTTCCTCAGGTTCAGGGCCCGCTGCAAGGGAAAGATATGGTTGGCACAATAATCAACAAGTGTCTGGGGGAGTGGGATTAATTTGGACAGCTCTCTCAAAGCGCCGGCACAGACAAAATGGCCCGAATGCCTTCCTTCTGTGCTGTATAATTCTACGATTCTAAGTACTCATGTTTCACGACCAGGAGGTTTCTTCCTCTGGGTGTGATCTGGTTTAACTCCCTCTAGTAGCACAGAACTGGTTCTTTTTACATTTCCCAATCTTCCCCTCCCTTAAAATCTCAGACCTGCATATCATTACATAACTTCTCGCTCAGCAAGTTTTAACAAGTGAACAATCCGAGGTACAATTCCACTAGTGTTCACCTTATTCCTGCACACCATCCCATCTACACCTCTCTGCCCATTTTGAGATTTTTTAAAAAAGTCCATTTATTGTTCTAATTGTCTCCCCGCTGACACATGCTTCTTTGTTTCTGGTCTGGCCTCCTCTTGCTGGATTACGGTTCTACGGTTACTGTATTCCTCTGGTACCCCGCACAAATGGCTGCTGTTCATGCATGAGCCTTAGTAGTGAGTGTCAGGAGAACACTCAATTGCAGAGGGTGTCACAGCCAAGCCTGACCTCTCCCCATCCAGCTGTAACACATGCACAGTAGAGTGCTACAGAGGAACAAGGATCCGGAAGCCTGTTGAGTTCAACCGTTTCTCACCCTGCAAAGCCCAGCACAAACTTAGTCTCTTCTTGCAGCCCTAGTTGAGACCGGCAAACTCAGCACGGACTGTGATTCAAATCAGTTAGCTCCTAGCCTGTAAACTGCAGCTCTCCCCACTACGTCATCAGGCTTGCCCTTGGGATTATTGGTTGTTAAAGATTCTAAGTTTGAAAGCTAAATGCTGACTTGAACCGAGTCAACCGGACAAAGTGGACAGTGAAATAGAGAATGATGCCTTTATATTGGGTACTAACCATAATCCATCTTCTTCCTTTTCTTCTTCCTGACTCTGGGTTTCCACTCGTCATCGTCTGCTAAGGCATCGTAGAAGATCAAATCCCCCCGCAACGGTTTGCTCAGTTTTTTCCGTTTCCCAAGTGGTGCCTTGTATATCATACCCTTGTGTTTCTGGCATTTGCAGCTCAACATGCACTCCGGCTTGCGGCAATGCTCGGGCGGCTCTTTCACGTGTGACAGACTATCACAGATGCAGCCCAAGCGGCAGAACTCGTTCTTGCATGGCGGCGGCCGTTTTGTGATCACTCGCCGGTTCTTGGATGAAAGTGTTCCCTAGTGGAGCGGAATAGACGCATTGTCAATTCTAACAGAAAGCAATGTAGCGCCTTCACAAACTGATAATGTAACAGTAAGCTTTTTCCATAATTTTTAACATGAACATTTCCAGGACATTCTATTTTTATTTGAGATGCGGCCTCTTGTCAACAACCATTCTCATCAGGACGACGACTCACAGAGGTGGGGTTAGCTGAGGGGGCGGGGAGGGGGTGGGGAATGATGGAAAGGTGACCAAAAGGATATTCAAAAAAAGTTGGGCTTTAAGGAGGGGAAGGAATGGTGAGGTAGAGGCACTCCAGGTTAGAGACGCCTCAAAGACGTGATACCAAATGCAAGGATTATTATTATTATAATAATAAACACCTCTGTCAGGTCCATCAATCATTCAGAGAGATGAGGAGAAAGAAAACTGTTAAGAGAGCAGGTTCATGTGATTAAAAAAAAACTAGACTTGACAGACGAAACACATTTCTGTGGTGTAACGTTCTATATCTTGGAATTACAGTGAGTAGGCAGTTGGAAGTTGTAGGAAGGATTTAGATTTTTTTAAAATTAAGAACCAGCTCCACTTTCTCCTAGTATTTCTCCCTCGGTACAAAGCTGAGTAGATACCTGTGCTGTGAGCAGTGTCACAAGGGCCGTCTCTGCTCGCTCCTCTGTCACGTAGGTCCTTGGTTTCCCTTCCCAGAGAGCGCTATTCTCCAAATCCAGTAACTTCAACTGCTTCTTGGACAACCCAGGTGGTCTCAGGAAGGTCGACAAAAGCCGAGACTTGGAGTTTTTAACTGGCGATTTGGATGCGGCCCCCAGTTTTCCGGGGGTCCTCCCTGGCTCTTTGCCAGCCGGGCAGGACCTTGCCACTTTCACACTGTGTTTAACAGCTTTCGATTCAGAGGCACCTGAGCTGGGCTTCTGAGGCGAGGCTCTATTCGATCGGGAGCCTATGCGGGTAACAATGGATTTCCGATGCTTTAGTACGCTGTCCAGCGTTCGCACGTAACTGGAACTTTTAATTGGCATTCGGTACGCAACTGGTAACATTTTGCCATCACAGAGAGCAGCTCGTTGTTTGATAATTTTCTCTTCGTTTTCTAAGTATTCATCTAGTTTGTCACTTAAGAAGGCAGAGCGATTCTTCATAGCTGATTGTAGGCTGGAACCTGGAACTAGAACCAAGATAAATTAATTTTGTTATTGCAGTTGACTCACGATTACTGTTGATCTATTCAAAGGAAAATATTCCAAGGGAGATTTCTCCTCCTTTTCCCCCCACTGAGATATACCAACAGGATATGCAGTCATTGGCAAATTACCATGGGACAATATGGACAGCTATTTAGAAGGTCAGTAGAATTTAAGGGGTCGCTTCTTTGCTATTGTGAGAATTGGATATGCCAATTGGATATGGAGAGAATGCGTTACTACTATAATTAAACGCTAGAATGTTGTGGGTTGAAATCTCCATGTCAGAACTTTGAACTCCCATCTAAATCAACACTCCAACAGTGCTGGGGATGCACTGCAATATCGGAGTTGATATCCTTTGGATGAGATGTTGAACTGAGATCCGTCTCCCTGTACAAGTTGGACGTTAAGGATCCCGTGGCACTATGTTACGAATGCCTGCCAAAAGTGGATTTTTTTTAAAAAAAATTAAAATTGAATAATGAATTATAATTTTTAAAAAATTAAGAAATGAATTAAAATTTAAATTAAAAAATGAATCAAAATTAAAATAAAAAAACGGTGGTTTGGGCCATTCAGTTTTCAATGTTTTTACTTCAAAAGAGACAAAACGAAGAATAGCAGCTGAAGAGATCTGGGATGCTACCCTGCGTGAGGAGTCCAATATAAATGAAAATTGTTGTTGTTGTTGTTGATAGCTCAGATCTAGTCTCTCTCAGCAAGTCCAGAAAGCTGGGCCTGCCTCACCTCAACAAAAGTACAGGCATTTATAGCTTATATATAGTCTATATCAATGATTTAGATGAGGAAACATATCTAAATTCGCGGACGATACGAAGATAGGTGGGAGAGTAAGCAGTGAGGATGACGCATGAAGAATGCAAACGGAAATAGACAGGCTAGTTGAGTGGGCAAGAAGGTGGCAGATGGAGTATAACGTGGGAAAGTGTGAAGTTATTCACCTAGGTAGTAAAAATAGAAAAGCGGATTTTTTCTAGAGCGGGAGCGACTAGGTAGTGTTAGTGTTCAGAGGGATTTGGGTGTCCTTGTACACCAGTCACAAAACATTGGTACGCAGGTACAGCAAGCAACTAGGAAGGCTAATGCCATGTTGGCATTTGTTACAAAAGGGTTAGAGTACAAGAGTAGGGAATTCTTGCTGCAGTTGTATAAGGCCTTGGTGAGACCACACTTAGAATATTGTGTGCAGTTTTGGTCTCCTTATTTAAGAAAGGTCATTCTCGTCTTAGAGGGGATGCAGATTCACCAGGTTGGTTCCTGGGATGAGGGGGTTGACCTATGAGGATAGGTTGAGTAATCTAGGCCTATATTCTCTAGAATATCGAAGAATTAGAGGTGATCTTATAGAAACCTATAAGATTCTTAAGGGTCTTGACAGGGTAGATGCCGTGAGACTGTTTCCCCTGGTTGGAGAATCTAAAACTAGAGGTCATAGTCTCAAGATTAAGAGTCAGCCTTTTTGAATTGATTTGAGGAAACATTTCTTCCCTCAGAAGGTAGTGAATTTGTGGAACATATTCAAGATTGAAGTTGATAGATTTCTAAAGGATAGAGGGATGAAGGGATATGGGGATAGGATGGGTAAATGGAATTAGGTTAGAAGATCAGCCACGATCTTATTAAATGGCAGGGCAGGCTCGAGGGTCGAGTGGCCTACTCCTGCTCCTATGCCTTATGGTCATCAGTGATCATTGCTTTAAGCAAAAATACACACTTGCACCCGTTTGGTGTTTACCATCGTTTTGGGGAATCGAAAAAAANCGGTGTCCCAAAAATCCGGCAAATGCTTGTTCCCTCGTTGTAATTATATCAGATCTCCCCCCACACCCCCCATTAGTCTGGCCAGCCAGGGCTTTAGCATAGATGTTTGAAGAACATGTCAGAGGGTATGAGGAGCATGAGTTGTAAGCAGGAGAATATAATAAAAATAGTTTTGCATTTGACTTTGGGAGAACGTTTCACAGGAATTATTGCTAAGTGTAATGTGTGTGTATTTTGTTGGTGATCACGGCAGCCAGTTTGCATGCAGCAATGTCGCACAATCAAAATAATTTGTGAAGAATAAACATTGCAGACACGATGCTCCTATTCTGCTCTGTGATGTGTACGATTCAATGCGCAGATCAGTTCATACATCCACAAGAGAGCATCCCAGCACAAACTTACTCGCTTCAGTCATTTTGGAAGTGGAAACTCCTGAGTGCTGGCCGAGTTTCTGCTTCCAACCCTTCAGTTTTGTGAAATCATTGGTTTTCCCGGTCCTGGACACAAAGGGAATCTCTTCGTCTGTAGAATATTGAAGTTATATATATATTTTTTAAAAGATCAGCTTAAAAACTACACTTGTATAACAAAATTTACTTATTTTTAAAATTTGAGCATAAGTAAAAACTATTTAAATCTTTGTTTTTTTTTGGTCAGCTGGGTATCTGACATAAATGGAACTCATCACTATGTGAAATTGTATCCAAACCCAACAGGGTTCCGCCTATGTATTGTACTTACACAGGGAAATTTCCCTGTGTCAAAAATGGAATTGTGCATTCCCTTCCTGGAGGGACGCACTCTGCTTTTCTAATTCCGGAGAAAATTAGGTGCTGGACAGGAAGAGCCAAGGCTTGCTGACCCCAGAGTGTTTGTGGGGTACTGCTGGAATTTACATTCAGCTAAAACCACATAACCTACCATTGAGAGTACCGCCTGGCAAGCTTCCCACTGCTTGTCCAGCTCGATCACCCTGCTCATTAGGGCTTGCAGGGTTAACAGGATCCCAGTGGGAAACACTCTTGCTTCCAGTAACTAGTCTACTCCTCCAAGTTGACCTGGGGGTGGGAGCCGAGGGGCATGGGGAGGGGAAAGATGATTGGTCTTAAGACGCACCTTGAACAAGGTGAGAGAGGAAACAAGTCGGAGGGACTCTGGGATGGAGTTCCTGAGAGTGGGGAGGAGGATTGGAAGCCTACCTGACGATGGTGGGGTGGATAGGGTAGGGGACAGGAAGAGGTCCAGGATTCCCCTACTTTAACATCTGTTTTGTAGGAAAACACAGTAAGCCTAATTGTTTCCCATGTTGCAGGAATCTGACGGTTTGACATGGCTACTCCAAGGTCGGTGACAGGCAGAGACTAATAAGTTTACAAAGCTGGAGAGAATTTAAATTCTACATCAGCAACACTAATGTTTTAAAATATTAGTTGTTCTGATTGAGCTAAAATAGCAATAAAACCATACTCAATGTTCAAACTATTGAGGGGGTGTTTTGATCAAGAGTAGATGGGGAGAAACTCTGGTGGGTGGGTCAGTAACCAGAGGACACAGTTTCAAGATAATTGGCAAAAGAACCAATTCAAGATAATTGGCAAAAGAGGGGAGACAAGGATAAGTATTTTTTAACCAAGACAGTTGTTACAATCTGGAATGCACTGCCTGAAAGCGTGGTGGAAGCAGATTCGATAATGGGTTTCAAAAAATTTGCAAGACTATGCGGTAAGAGCAGGGGATTGGGACTAGTTGGATAGCTCTTTCAAACAGCCAGCACAGGCATGATGGAACAAATGGCCTCCATCTTTGGTGTAAGATTCTATGATTCAGAGAAATGTTAAACCCAAACCAGCACTCAGAATGCTCCCACATTCACAGAAAGAGTCTCTGTAGTGTGCAGTCATACACTGCAGACTGCTTCCCCTCCACACTAATATTGCAGTAAAACCTCTCTTCAGACCACTAATCCTCTGTCTGAGGTCCATGCTCCTCATGCAGGAGTATGGCAGGAAGCCTCTCAGGTGCCAGTGATAGATTCGATCACATGCCAACAAATCAGTGATTCTTACTTTATTGCTACAAACTGGAAATTCCGATGCAATAGAATACAGGCGTCACAATACTGCTATGCATGCATTTCTCTTTGAACCAACTGGCTCACCTGAAGGGCTTTGGGTAACTCCCCTAAAAGCAGATCTGACCTCTGTAGCCGGTGAGGGTGGTATCACCACCCCTAAGCGCTTCAGGTCTAGGCTTAATGTTGGCACCAAGGAGCTCAGCTTAAAACCAGCTATAGGGAGAACACAGGCATTAGCAGCATAAACCAAAAGAATACGCAGCCAAATTCACACCATCATAATTAACACTCAGATGTAACTCTTGGTCAGATCATACTCTAACTGCATGCAGATTAAGTGCATGAAACAGACAAGCAGTCTAGCCTGGGAGCAAGTGACCCACTTGCAACTCGGACCTTCCAAGTGAATGTTTGAAGTGCTCTGCTGACCAATTCATGATGATGGAACCTTGAATCTATGATAAAATAACAATCACCTGCTTCGAGGGCTGGATGCACAATCGCTGGGGGGTCTAACTGGGCTAATTCCTCGATCAACTCTAACTCCAGTCGCGCCATTTTCTCTCCATCATTTTCTTGTGGAGCTGCAAGGAGATCACGCACACAACCGTGGTTTACCGTGGGGCAGAACGACATTCGGAAGTTTGCTCCTCAAATTCAAGCCTTGCCAAAGCCCTGGACTCCACCACAATTTTGTGTGTAGTAAAGCTCTTTGAAAGATTACTTTTGTTAGTTACAGAGATTACTTTCTAAAAATTTGATGTTATTTAATTCCTACACTGAATTCACAAAATACCACAAAGCTGTGTAAAGTTAAATGTTCAAACAAAACCGACCCAATAAAAAGCTACAAGACACGGAGCAACAACTTGCATTTATATAGTACTCTTCATAAAGATCCTCTTGGATCTTTTAACAGATATGCAGGTCTAAATGTTACCCTGAGCAAAAATTAAGGTTTAACTGAGTGAAGGGCTCTTGCTGCAGCACACACAGATAGGAGGAAGGAAAGTAGATTCAGTCAGTACCTGTCTGATGGGTGGGATCATTCAAGTCCTCTGGGATCTGCTCGACCGGTTGGGATTGGAGGGCATCCTGTACATACAATCAGAAAGAACACTCAACATGAGACGGCCATCAAGAAACATAACAGTACTGCTTGGTTATCGTACGTGTGTTGAAGTGTGATCAGTGAGGCCCAAAGTGAAAAATCTTAGTAGTTTAGTGGAAAACAAGCAGTCTGACAATTCCATTAGATATAATCCAAAGGACAATGTAGTTCCTCCTCCTCCCAGACATAGACTACCCAGACAAGAGAAACCACATCAAATTAAAACCTGGGTATTAAAAGGACAAGGACCGCTTCCTGCATGCCAAACAAAGTAAGCAAGTCTAAGTGTCTAACGTCCATGCCAATACAGAGGCTTAATATCATTGTTTGGGGGAAAGCAACACTAACCTAGCCTGGATGAGCCACAATTTCCCTCGACTAAATATGGGCAAGACAAGCCATCCTTCTTGGTTACCACCAATGTCTCACTTCTGGCTCTGACCCCCTCAATACCCCTAGGACTCTACCAAATTCACCAAACCTTGGCTCCAGGGTCTAAGAAGGTCAGAGAGGTGGGAGGTGCCAGGACATGAAAGGATTTGGAGACGATTGTGAGGATCTCGAAATTGATCTGATCGGTGATAGGCAGCCAGTGGAGTCTGGCTCGAATTGATGTGATATTTGATATAGGTGCTATATCAAAGGCAAGGATTATTATGTTAAAGGTGGTCAAGTTGCACATCTCCAAACATAGTTACAAAAACATCATCAATGATTATCTTATCATTTGAGTGTTTTATTGTCACCTGAGAGGAATAGGACACAAAGGTAACCCCTTCCACATCATCCAGGTCTGGGGTAACATCAGGGAAGGGGTCTGGGTGCTCCAGCGAGTGTTCAGAGGAGGCTGGAGAAGGGGCTACTTTTGAGGTAAAGCAGAGCGATTTCCTTGACAGACGCAGCTTTCGGTTTCGGACCCGTCGACGAGTTCTCCCCTTGGACTGGTGCTCTGACACACTCGGAGAAACAGTGCGGGTGGAACATGGAGTCGACTCCTCTGTACAATCAGCCTCCCCCGTCGGAGGTCTCCAAATGCCGGAGCTGAAAGCTTTTGAAGAAGCATTGGTTTTGACCACATTGGCCAATGTATCACCTTTTGCAGCTAACTTTTTGGACAGAATATCTCGTGAAATTGCCAATTTCTGTACCGCTGCCGAAGTCCTGCGTTTCTTAGTTCTTCCCGACATGGGATCCTTCTCTAGAGAAGACATCACATTTCCCTCTTTGGATTTTTCAGCAGAGCCAGGAGAAGTGACAGATTTTCCAGCTGACTCTGGCTGACTGGGAGGACGAGGGAGCAGAGGGATCCAGTTCCTTCGACATGGTGACAGGAGGTTTTTCGGCAATTCAGAGATTTTGACAGTACCCTTTGTAATAGCACATGGTTCCAAGTAAACAATGGGCATTTTACCAGTCTCTGTTTTCAGCATTTTGGCCTTTACTGCTTCCGGAGGACTGCTCGGCGGACGTTTTTTTGCCCCCAAGGCAGGCATATCCAGGTCGCCAGTGACGTTTTTAGCAGCATTAACTTCAGTGGGGATCCAATCCGTCTGCCTCTCTAACGTTGGAATACTATAACTGGATGAGGAATCATCATCACTATCGTTGTCACCTTCCTCCTTACATTTCAGTCCAGCTCCGTCAAAGCCCTCCTGGTGTGTTGTGTGGTAGTACTCATAGTCATCAAGTGGTTCTTCCTTGATAATAATATTGAAAGGCGCCTGGTCTTCAGATGATGCCACACTGGATGGCTGTGTTAAACAAACATTAGGGAGGCTTTTCAAAATGCTGGGAGAGAAAAAAAAAGGATATCAAAATGCAACGAACAATAAATAGTAAACAGTCACAATAATCCACTATCAACATTTCTGCAGCTTCTGCCAATACCTTCAAAATGATACGAGTGTCAGTGAAAATCTGATAGTTGTATTATGCAGCCATTAGGATGTGAGCAGGATATCTGTGGGTCTTACCTCAGACTCTCATTAGCCACAAAACGCTCAAGGTTTGCACTTGTGGACTCGAGCTTTGTGGCTTGAATCATAACCAGCTTCCCCCCTATCCCCCAGCCCACCCCAGACCTGGAACTCACTCCTGTCTTCCTATGATTGGCTCACTTTCCAGTAGCTGCAACATACATGAGGAATGGAACATAGTACTGAAAAACAGTGACCAATTACTTGCAGTCAGTAACGCAAGAGATTTTTATAGTTCAAAAACTGTCCTCTCTCTTGTGAACAGTAAGCATTGACATTTTGAAAATAATATTTTTCTTAATGATTCCCTTACCATATGTCTCCAAAACTCTCTCCATTCCCTAAATATCTACTGCAACCCCCACCTCACCAGCTCAATGCCCAATTAACAACCACCTCTTCCAGCAGCCAGATAAAGCCTATCAATAAAATCATGCATCGAACTTTGTTGGAATGGGGGCATTTATTTATGAAGAACAGAACCTAGGCTTGCTCTAGTTGGGATTTCTGTCAGTTCATAAACCCTTTTAATATTGAGAATAACTCCATAGCATACTTTTTATAGGATTTCCTAATAAGAATGTGCAAATCCTTAGTGTATTAAGGCCAACCAAACTGTAGGAAATGACTCCTAGTTTTTTTGGGGTCAACCAGGTGTCTGACACACGCAGAAACCCATCACCATGCTGTACGAGTCTCCAAACCAGAAATTTTACATATGTCTAGTTTCAATTTGTTTGGTATGCAGTGTGAACTCTTTCTCAGAGAGAGACAACCTTCTCACTTAATCTTGTAGAAAGTAGCCCCAGGTTGGCAAAAGACATGGCTTGAGATCCCTGAGTGTGCATTGGGGTAGCTGCTGGAGTTTAACCAGCTAAATCCACACAGTTTCCCCCCGCAAATACAGATGACCTTCTCACCGCTTGCCCAGCTAGGACCAACCATTACAACTTCCATGGGCACTGGGTGATATGAATTTCAGCGACTGAATTTCAAGGACTTATCTGGTCCTCCAAGACTCGCTCATGAACCAGTCTGGCTGATTTGTCATGAACAGTACTGGAGTACTACAGACCTGCCCAGCTCAGGAACCAGACTACAGACACTATAGCATGCAACTTTGGAAACAATTCATCTCCAAAATATCCTTCTTACTTCTCTTTCCACACCCACCTGTTCAAAGAAGATAGCCCCCTACATATCAGCAATAAGAAACCAACATTAAAGCACTTTGCTCGTCCATGCAATGATCAGAAAGCTTCCCAACTTCCAGTAACAGCATAATAAGAAATAAACCAGGTGATTTTCTGACCTAGTATCTGCTTCAAACACAACAATCAAATTGCTAAGGCTATATAGTTCTTAGTAGTACATTGATAATGGTAAAGAAAAGTGGTGTGTCAGCCTGGCTCAGTTTGTAGCACTCTTGCCTCCAAGCAGACAGTTGTAGGTTCAAGCTCCATGTGAGGACTTAAACTCAGAGTCTAAGCTGACACTCCACTGCAGTGCTGGGGGTTGGTGTAATATTGTAAGAGCTGTCCTTAAGACCGGACGTTAAACCGAGGTTCCTGTTCCGGTGGACATTAAAGATCCCATGGCACTATTCAAAAAAAGAAAGGAGTTTCTCCCAGTGTCTGGGCCAACAATTCCCTAAATAATAATAATAATCCTTGCATTTGATATAGCGCTTTTCACGTCGGGAGGACGTCCCAAAGCGCTTCACAGAACACACTGTAAAGTGAATTGACTGTATATTTGTGGGCGAACGCGGCAGCCAATTGCGCACAGCAATGTCCCACAAACAGTCGTAGATTGAAAATGACCAATTTATTATTGTTTTTGGTTTTGGAGGGATTATTATTAGGATCTGTGTGGAGTAAGGAAACTTGCCCAAGGTTTCGCCCTGACCTGCCGGGAATTGAACTCAGGTCTCTCGCTTGCAAAGCGAGTGCTCTAACCATTGAGCTACAGGAATAAACTCATTTCATGGCTATTTGTGGGACATAGCTGTGCACAATTCAGCTGTCACATTCAGCTACAAATATACAGTCACTCCACAGTAAATCCTGTGAAGCACTTTGAGATGTCTTCCCAGCATGAAAGACAACACCAAATGCAATGATTATTTTTATTATTACTACTACTGCCTTGTATTGTGATATATGCCCCTTGACATGTTATTTGTAGCAGTATCTTTCCTTAACCCTCTCCCTCACACACCGCCAACTCGCAATGCAAGACTCAGCTGCTCTCTTGCAATTTGGTACACTTGTACACTTCCCACAAGTGTTAACAATCCAAAGCTTGGACTTTCCTGGTACAATGCATGAATCTGGATAACATAAGGGTAAGGGCCAACTAAATTTGCCATTCAAACTGGATGAAAGGCAGCAACAGCATGGGGAATCTGAACTAGGATACAGACAAGAAAGGATAGGTTTTGCCACAAGTAACCAAAGCTTTTCTATTTAGGATCTTAGGCATTTATACATAGTGGCAATCTGAGGTGACCTAAAAAGATGTTTCAATGTTACAAAGGGATTTTGACAAGATTGGGAGCACAGGAATGTTTCACCAAGACACATGGATTAAAAAGGAAGTTAAGAATAAGAACAGGCATTTTTTTAAAAAAACATACAACAAAGGTAAAATTGCAGAAAATAATTGTCAGAGGTCACTGACGTAGATTTTATAAACAAGTTCAAGAGGCAGCGAGATGTGTTTCTGAAAGAGAAAGGGATTGAGAGAAATGGTAAGATCACACAAATCTGAGGTTGAAAACCATCAAAAAAGGGATAGAAATACTGAGCCTTAATCAAATGATCTTGTCAGATTATCAAAGCTATTATGCTAATGCTGAGATGCCCAACTTCACAATTTATTGAAAATATCAAATGCAAGAATTGTATTCCTGTACTAGATTCTATGAAAGGTTACTATGTGATCTATTTCTAAGTAACTTGTCTAAACATGGAATCCATTTGTGAATGGTCCTTTTACCTTCTTGGGGCGTTTACTGTGTTACTATGCACACCTATGAGGTGTTGAACAGATAAATGCGGGATGTTTTAACCAACACGCACCCCACGCTGATAGAATGGGCTGGAAACGTTGTAATTAATGTGCATTCTACAGTATTGTGACTTTGTCTGTTTTAGATCCTTTCAATTGATTACAACTTTTCCTTGTACAATTTCCTGGTCAGAGTGCAGGGCCAAATTGGACAATATTCCTCAAATTGTTCTACATATGGTGCACCTCCTGAGAAGGTGGCAGCCTACCGGAGTGAGAGGTGGATGTTCTGTCTGGGTAGTTGCAGCTGCCTTAAAACAAACAAGCTGGAGTCATCAGCCGCTTCCTGCCTGATCCAGATCTTGGGTTTACAGGCTACAAATAGTTTTAGAAATGTTCAATGGACAATATATTCTGACCATCTTGCATTTTTTCCTGCAAAACTTTAGGAAGAGTTCTATAAACTGAGGAACATAGCCTTCCTCAATTCCCCCATCCGAACCACATAATCATCATCTTTGGATTTAATGCAGTGAGTTTCATGTGAAGACGTCTCAAAAGCATCACAGAATTTCCTGTTCTGACTGGTGTACTTTCGAGGGTGAATATGGCAGCTACTACCACTCTGTTCTACAAACAGTATGAAGCAAATTAATAATTTTATGGGAGGGGGAAGCAGCAACGTTGGATAAGACTCCCTTCTCGAGTAGTGCCATGGAACCTTTAACATCCATCTGAACAGGCAGACAGGACCTTGGTTTAACGTCTCAGCAGGTGAACACCTCCTGCAACGCAGCACTCACCTAGCACTGTATTGGAGCGTCAACGTAGATTAGGAGTTCGAATTTCCGACATGGGGCTTGAACCCACAACCTTCTGACTCGGGAGGCAAATGTGCTCCGACTGAGCCAGGCTGATAACTAAATCATCTAAGGAGACCACGCGTCATTTACCTGAAAACAATTAAGCTTCAACTACAGTGCTTTGTCTCTCTCTATCTCCCTTTCCCCATCCCCCATCATGACACTGGTGAAGGAGGTAGGCATCAACCTGTTGATAAGAGTTGAGGCACATTTTTCAGGCATTTTCCAGCAGCAACTTCGCCTCTGTCGAACTCTGTGTAAATGACTGCACTTTGTGTGCGAATGCTTTGTGTTGCAGGGTGGAGGGCTTGCTACCTAATCTGGTGATCATAATCCTTATATAATCTATCCTTCGGATGAGACGTTAAACCGAGGGCCTCTTTGCCTGTTCAGGTGGATGTTAAAAATCCTATTTGAAAGGAGAAGTGAGTTTCTCCTGTTGCCCTGGCCAACCGTTCCCCAGATAAAATTGTTCATTCACTTCATGGTTGCTTGCAGGAACTTGCTGTGTGCAAATTGGCTGCTGCATTCACCTATAAAATACGGTTACCACACTTCACAGTAAATTCCCTAAAGCGCTTTGAGCATCCTCCTGACATGTAAGGCCTGATATCAAATGTAATGACTATTATTAGAATTCAAAAACGGGAAGGGGAAAATGGAACATAACAAACATCATTGTAAAATGAATTTTTTGCAGTTCATGGACTTTGACAATTTGACAAAAACATCGCAAAAACATGCGCATTTAAATAATGCAATTCACTCAGGATAATGTCTTGAAACGCCTTGCGGATGGTGTGAATCAACAAGCAGGGAGAAGAGCTAGTCTGACCAAAGGCGCGATCACTGTTAGGTTTTCAAGAGGAAATGACTGAAGGGAGAGAAAGCACAAAGTGAAGGGATATGGGGGCTCAAGGTGAAGAGATTTGGGGACACAGTTCCAGAGAGCAGAGGAATAGTGGCTACAAGCATGACCACCAATGGTTGGACAGAGGGAGTGAGGAATGAGGAAAGAGCAGCAAGACCAGTCAGGAGAGCAGAGGGCACAGGTAGGAAAGTGGGGTATAGGAGATTGCAAAGGTGAAGGGGAGCAAGATCGTGAAGGGATTTGGAGATCAGGGTGAGGATCTTGGGAATCGATCTCTGTGAGGAACTGGGAGCCAGTGGATCCTGGCAAGGATGGGAGTAATAAACAGATTGAGCTCCAGGTTTCCTATCCTTTGCTTACCTCTCAGTTGTTCTCTTTTTCTTCACAATTCCAGTTCCCAGACTAAATTCATTACTCCCTGATACATCAGCTTCCAAATCCCCTTCCTCATCTGTATTATACATTTCCCCGTCAAAACTGGGCCCCAAAGACGCCTGGGTGCTACCCTGCATCTTCCTGTATTCGGAAGGTGAAAAGGGTCTTTTCAGTTTTGAGTGTTCACTGGAGTCAGCTGGCACACCCCTGGAGGAACTAGAATCATCACTACAGCCTTCATCTGTTGAGTCACTGCCCTTGTACCTCAAATCTCTCATAGGCTTGCTGTTGAGTCCATCATCCCGGAAGCCTTTCGCAAAGGGATTGTAGTCGATCTTCAACTGAGTGATCTTGATGTTCTGATATGCAGTCACAGCCACAAACTGAGTCTGCGAGAAAGTGAAGGTGAGCACGTTTGGGCCATTGAGGGGAATTATATCGGTGAGCTTGTCAGCAGGGATGACATGCAAGCGTGGCAGGTAACGGTGCATGGAATGCAGGATGATGTGACCCTCTTGGTCTAGCGTGTTGTTGGTGAGTTTCAGTTTGCAAAAGGAGATGGGCTGCCTCATCCAGTAGCTCCCAGTGGAAGGCGAGTCGGGATGAATGTAAACTCGCCCAAGGACGTGTGGTTCCGCCTTGCCATTCACCTCCCACCATCGGCCATTCCACTTGTAGCGGTTATTGTCCACTGGAGCAATATCCATTACCAGGATGTATTTGCGGAATGGATCCAGCCCGCAGATACAGAAGCTACAGTTTGGAAACATGCGTCGGCCATGTTTGGTCAAGATCATTTCAGTGCCACGCTTATAGAACTGATTCCACATCTCCTGGTTCTCCAAGGTGACAACGGCATTCCCAGACCGGCATTCAAATGGATGAACATTCGCCCCCGACTCAGACTCATTCCTTTGATCTGCAATACAGCTGCCACCTCCGAGTTCTTGTTTGGCCACCACCATGCTAGTCTCACTGCCACCATTTCCAGGCCCTTGCTTGAGAATGACAAAGTATGCAGCAGGGTTACCTGAACCCTGTGGGGTGCTGCCCTCCTGCTTTACATATACCAACTGTTGTTTCTCCATAGTCTTTGGAAATCAAAACCTGTCCGAGAGATAGAGAGAAAGAGAGAGAGATCCAAACCCGATGTCAGTTTGGCCCATAAAAAACCCTGTAAGATACAAACAAAAGCATTTACAGCATAAAATATAATTCCAACCTGAGGCCAGCCAAGCTCAATCTCTCTCTACTCCCTGGCCACTCACAAATTTCCAAGCATGAACTCTAAACTCTGCGTTAAAGTGATCCCTTACACTGGATCAAGACACAAAAGGGAAATTTTCTTTGTTCTGGTGTAGATGGCAGCATTTTAAGTTGCTCATGGGTTGAGTTCTGATTCCTGACATAAATCCTCCATACCTATAATAAACAGCTCCAACATATGCACCATAACTTCATTTTTCCTGGCACATTCTTCCAATCCTTTCCAACAATGTATAACAGGAGAGAAGCAAGGAAAATAAGCAGCAAAAAAGAGTTGGCGAATGGTGCATATCAACCAGTCTTGCCCTTGTAAATAATAATACTTGCATTTGATAGAGCGCCTTATCACATTGTTGAGACGTCTCTAAGCACTTCACAGAATAATAATCCTTGCATTTGATATAGCGTCTCATCACGCCTTCGAGACACCTCAAACCTCAGTGAATTGATTGTATGTTTTGTGGGTGAAATACTGCAAAGTGAGCTGGCTTTACATATGAAAATAATACGAAGGATTTGTTCAGTGTTAAGGGGAAAAGGGAAGTCCAGACAGGTTAATTAATAAAATTTCTAGATCTTCTCTCCAATCCTACACTTTTAAATCTGTTGGCTGGAAAATGCAGGACCCAACATCAAAAACATTAGTAAACCATTTTCTTGGGTCTCCAAAATAGAATTACACACGTGAATACACAGGACCTGAAAGCAGTCACTCATAAGTCACAATCCAGAAATCGGGAAGGAACTTGATGTTTTCTTCATAACCATGAATCCTGGTAACCGCTGAGACTAATAGAAAGCACCCTTTCCAAACCTTAGTTTCCGCAATCTATCAATCACTTTTCAACAAAAACACACTACTACTGTAGTGCCCTGTGCATTTAATTCAACAACAAACCCATGGGACAAATGCAACATGAAATATGCTACCTCCTGAGAGACGCTTTAATTTTTTAAGGCTCACAAAGTAATTAAACCATCATTCCTGTTGCAGGAGGTAAAATTAACATGGACCTGCATGGACATCCATACATGTAGCATTAAAAGAAACACTAATTGCCATTCGGAGACTATCCGTTTCAGAATTCCAAGTAAATATATATCTAAGGACTCATATGCAACAGCCAATTGGACAAAACCTGCACAATGTAAATGAAGTCCCTGCATGAACAACTCATGAATTGGCAACTTTGTGAAATATGCTTCAACTGCAAACTAAAATCTATCTTGCATGTGTAGTACAATCTCATGCGATTGCCCTTACCAACACCCTTCTCCCGAGATCCCGATCCTATTAGAATACAGTACGCTTTAAGAACACATCTTTATGGGTCAGTTTCCTTGTACCAATGTTCCGTAAAAAAATTTCAATAATTTTCAGATCTTATTCGTGTTTTACTGAAGCCCTTTCAATAAATTTCCGAACATAATAACAAACCTTACATTTGATTTAGCGCTTTATGTTGTTGAGATATCTCAAAGCGCTTCACAAAATATACTGTAAAGTGAACTGACTACATTTGTGGGCGAACATTTCCTAAAGTTATACCACTGAATTGCTAATTGTGTCTTCATTTGTTATGATGCAAGTGTATATAACGACAACATGCAAGTTGTTGTTATATATACACACAGGATGGAGAATGTACCCATGTCAATCAATGACAAATGGTAATTTTTGCATTACTACCTTGGGTGGACGATTGTTTGCGGTGGCATCTTGAGTAAAAATCACCAGCAAGTTATTTCAAAACTTGGGTTGCATTTAAAAGCCACTTGAGCTCTACATTTTGTGTACACGAGCTAAAGCGATATGAAGCCCTCAACTAAATTCCCATCGATAACTCACTCCCAGGAATCACTTGTGAGGTAAGGATATCAAGGGATATGGGGCAAGGGCGGGTAATTGGAGTCGAGGTATAGATAGGCCATGATCTCATAGAATGGTGGAACAGGCTTGATGGGCTGAATGGCCTACTCTTGTTCCTATGTACCATATACAGTAGAAACCACCTAAATCTCCCAATTAGATTCCTGCCTGTAACTCACTCCCAGGTATCCATTATTTTGCAGACTCAACACACAAGCATAAAATTAGGTTGGGGTAGAAAGAGGAAATAAGTAATTTTGCAACAGTTTAGTTCTTATTTGGCAGAAGCTCCAATTGAGTACAAAAACAGATAGACCATTTCCCAAGGGCGATGAGAGTAAAACAGCAATGGTAACCTTTGGTATATCCTACACATCAGGAATTTCTGATGCACTTTTCATCCACCACCAATAAGACAACATATAGTGTTTATTGGCGACAGTAAATATTAATGGTAATGGCAGTTGAACTGCAGAATCTCACCATAACCAGTCGTGTAGTATAATCTTTCACCTTCAAACTATTTTCCAGAAAACCCAACAATTTTTACCCGCTTGTAAGATTGGATTAGTTAAAGAATTTTGTGATGTTACTGCGACGCATTGATGAGTATCTGCTAATTTGAGAACAATGTGCTCAGAAGATACCCCTCAATGTGATATTGTACAGTAAAAACACGGTAACGGGGGGGGGCGGGTTCACACCAACATGTGAAAAAAAAAACTTATAAAACAGATCTGAACAGTCAGAGGGACAATTGGAAATTTCGGATTATTCAGAAGTTGATAGTGAAGTTGGATCCTGATGTTAGCGATCGCTGTTTCCATGCGCCATTGGGTGCAAACAGACAACGCAAAAGCACCGAATCTTCGTGCGCTGCACATTTGTTTGTGTGCGTTTCCTTTTTTTTTTGGAAAAAAAAACACACACAAAAAGACTCGCTTTCCGCCCAAGTATTTAAATACCTGTTCAGGTCGAAGAGAGTGCGCGCGATGCAGTGCGGACCGCCCGGCGCGGCTCAGCCCGACCAGCACTCACGGCTTTCACTTCCCTGCGATCGCGGACTGGAGGCACCGGGGATAAGCCGAGCAATGCAACGCCAGGGACCGGGGTGGGGGGGGGTGTGGGGGGGGGGGGTGGGGGTGGGGGGGTGTGTGTCGGGGGGGTGTGGGGGGTCTCACGGAGGAGGGGATTGAACGGCTGCTGCGGAAAAGCCCGAGGACAGGACATAACGTGGTCGGATCGATTTGCGCGGTCTGGCGCGGGCGGGTGTGGGCGGGACCGGTCTGTGCGTCGCCCCAACCGCAGGGCTCGGGAAGTCAGGCCGTCGCGGGGAGGGGAGGAGGGGGGGGGGGGGGGTCACGCCGAGCCGCCCGTTGCTCTCTCCCCTCTCCCTCTCCCCCCCACCTCTCTCTCTCTCTCTCTCCCCCCCCCGCACCGATGTTTCCTCCCGACCACGTGAACAGGACGGTGTTGCCGCCCCAGACCGCTCCAATCGAGCTCTTACCGCCGATTTGGCGCCTTCCTCGATCTGCTCGGGCCCCAGTGTGTGTGTGTGTGTGTGTGTGTGTGTGACTCCCTCCCCCTCCCCCCCCCTCCCACTCCCCGCCCTCCCCCCCGAGGGTGCGCTCCTCCCTCCGCCGCCGGCACTCGGCAGACAGGGGGGAGAGAGCGGCGACACCCTTTTGGCCGCCGTCTGCGGCCCGACCCCATACAATGGAACCCGCCACGATCTCGGCGCTGCCCTGACCCGAGAGGGCCTCTCCCCCCCACACACCCCACACCCACACCCCACCACACCCACACCCACACCCCCACCCGCCCACACGCGGAAACATCGCCATCGCTCGGTATACAGTTACAGGAGCCGCAGAGGGCCGACCCCAGAGCAGAGCGGGAGGTCCGGTCTCACACACTAACACACCTGGGATCAGATCTCCCCCCCCTCCACCCCCACCCCCCCCTCCACTCACCCCCACCGACCCTCAAACACCCGCCACTGACACTCCTCGTCCCTCGTACACACGGACAGAGGGAAAATCACAATAACTCCCGAAATATGTAGCCCCAGAGAACACACTAATAACCCCCCCCCCCCACACACACACACACCCCACCCACACAGCCCTGGGATACACACTGATCCCCCACCAACACACAGCCCTGTGATACTCAGTAATACCCCCCCCCCCCACCCCCACCCCGCACCACGAACGCACAGTGCTGGCATCCACATTACTACATCCACAACAACAACAACAACATTACATTTATAGAGCGCCTTTCAGGTCGGGAGGATGTCCCAAAGCTCTGTACAGTCAGATGTCGGGACCCGAGCATGGGGGAGGGGTGGTGTAGGGGTGAGGGAAGGCGGAGAGCTGGGAGGGAGACCAAAGGCACGGTCGAAGAGAAGGGTCTTGAGACCGGCCTTGAAGGAGGCAAAGGGAGGAGGCGAGGCGAAGGGACCGTGGGATGGAGTTCCCGAGTGTGGGGGCAGAGAGGCTGGAAGCCCGGCCACCGATGGTAGGGCGGGAGACATGGAGCAGGCCGGAGCCTGATGAGCGGAGGGAGCGGGCAGGTTGGTAGGGAGTCAGCTGGTCAGAGAGGTAGGAGGGGGCAAAGCAATGGATGGCCTTAAAGGTGAGGACGAGGATCTTGAACTCGATCCTCTGGGGGATGGAGAGCCAGTGGAGTCGGGCGAGGGTGGGAGTGATGGGGTCGCGGAGGCTGGTGCGGGACAGTACACGAGCTGTAGAGTTTTGGATGATCTGCAGCTTGTGAAGGGAAGAGTTGGGAAGACCGATGAGGAGGGAGTTTCCATAATTGAGCCTTGAGGTGACAAATGCGAGGGTGAGGGTTTCGACAGCCTGAGGGGTGAGGCAGTGGCGGAGTCTGGCAATGTTGTGGAGGTGGTGGTAGGCAGTGCCGGTCATGGTGTGGATGTGGGGAAGAAAGGACAGTTCAGGGTCAAACAAGACACCCAGGTTCCTGACTGGCTTAGTGAGATTGAGTGTGCAGCCACTGAAGCTGATGCTGCCAGCACCTGAAGTGCGGAGGTGCTGGCACGAGCCAATCAGGAGGGCCTCGGTCTTGCTGACGTTGAGTTGGAGAAAGTTGGCCTTCGTCCAGGACTTGATGTCGGACAGGCAGTCGGTCAGGATGCCAGTAGTCCTGGAGTTCAGGGTGGAGGCAGAGAGGTAGAGTCGGGTGTCATCCGCATACATGTGGAAATTTACCCCATGTCTGCAGATGACGTCACCAAGGGGGAGCATGTAGAGGGTGAAGAGGAGGGGACCGAGGATAGAGCCCTGAGGAACACCACATGAGACAGTGCGGGGGCTGGAGGAGAAACGTTTGCCACGATGAAGTGGAGGCGGTGTGAAAGGTAGGACCTCAACCAGTCAAGGACAGAACCTTGAAGGTTGAGGTGGGAGGAGAGGCAGTGGAGGAGGATTGAGTGGTCCACGATGTCAAAGGCGGCAGAGAGGTTGAGGAGGAGGCAGAGGGAGCCCTGGTCACACATTGTCAGGATGACGTTTGTGACCTTGACCAGAGGCAGTTTCAGCCCTGTGATACACACTAATAGCCCCCGCCCAAACACACAGCCCTGTGATACACACTCATACCCCCCTCCCCAAAAACACAGTCCCTGGCTACACACGAATAACCCCCTCAACATTGCAGATCACAGAAAACATCTACACAGACTCCGGGTAACACAATGATAAAATGTCGCTCATAGATGGATTCTGGACTTATCCCTGCTCTTGTAAACACCTCCCTAGGGATCAACAACAACAAGATTACATTTGTATTGCGCCTTTCACGTCGGCAGGTCGTCGCAGTGTACAGCATTTCAGACCAACACTAACCCTCCTTCACACACATGAATTGATACTGTGAACTCACCAGTACCCCTTCCATTATACAAGCATCCTGGGGATCCCACTGACATCTTCTCACTTTTACAGCCCCTGGATCACCCCGCTATTTCATGACAACCCTGTGGTCACCCCATGAACCCGATCCCCTTCTAATACCCACAGTTGCCAGGCAGCACTGATAACCACTCCCTCATACACAGAGAGGAACAACATGCACTTATATAGCACCTTTCACATAAAATAACTCCTTCACGGGGACAGTGTGGATCACCGCAGAAGGTGGAAAGAGAATTGGAGAAGGGTGTATAGGAAAAGGAAATTGCCCTGAAACAAGGTAAATTTGTAGGAGGGATATTATGCAAGAGGCAGAGGGATTTTGGGAGAAAGCTCCAGACAGCAAAGGCATTGTGACTGTATTTTGGCCAGCGATGATGAGGCAGACAGGATGAATCCAATGCAGTAGGCCCAGACTTACCAAGCAGAGTATGGATGGGGGGAAATTGCAGCTGGGGCAAGGGAATGAAGGGATTAGAATCAATAAGTCAATCCAGTAGGGGACAGGGAGCCAGTCAGGCTATGCTACCTACCTGCCCGCCGGTCTATACTAATTCTGTGCTCGCTCGACTTCCCAACTCTTCCCTCCACAAGCTGCAAATTATTCAGAACTCTGCAGCTGGTATCCTCTCCCACACTAAGCTTTGTGAGCCAATCAGCCCATCCTCACCCGGCTTCATTGGCTTCCCATCCCCCAAAGGATAGAGTTCAAGATCCTAATGCTCACTTTAAAGTCTTCCATAGTCTTGCTCCTCCCTACCTCTGGGACCTACTAAAGCTTTACCAACCTGCCCGCTCCCTCCGCTTGGCAGACTCTGGCCTGCTCCGTGTCACCTGCCCTGTCCACCATTGACAGTCGGGCTTCAGCCTTTCTGCCCCCATTCTCTGGAACTCTATCCTGGAGACCATCTGCACTGCCCCCTCCCTTGCTTCCTTTAAGGCCCGTCTCAAGATCTTCCTATTCGACCGTGCCTTGAAACATCCTCTTACCCCAAACCTCTTGCCCTCAATCCCTCTGGATTTCAATCCCCAGATTGGGTGCAAACCCTTCACTTTCTAGCTCCTTGGGACATCCTCCCAACCTGAAAAGCGCTATATAAATGCAATTTGTTATTGTTGGAGGTTGCGAAGATACGGGGTGGGAGGGGGGGGGAGAGAAGAAAGACAGGTTTGAGTCAAGAGAATTTAAGGCAACAGAGTTCTGGGTGAAATGGAACTTGTGCAGGGGCTACAAGGAGAGTATTTTAGAAACGTCTGCCAATGGCAACGATGTAGGTCAGCTTCAGCCACACTGGGATGTGATAGAAGCAGAGGCATCTTCCAGAGATGCAGAAAAGCAGTTTTCGTCAAAGACCAGATATAGAGTTGGAAAGAGCGCAGAGGGATTGAGGAATATGGAAAGGTTCTACACTGGCTTGGTGAGTTGGATTAAGCAACTGAGGAGAGTGATGAAGTCGGAGCTAGAGGCCAGTGGGTGTTAGTAGCCAAGCAGGAAGCTTTGGTTTAGTTGACATTTGTTGAAGGAAGTTAAGGCTCAACCAGAATTGAATGTCTATGAAATAATGATGGATGTCACCAAGATAAGGAGAAAACTAAAGCCTTAGTTTATGTGGCCATCCAAGAGCAAGAGAAACCATAATAACAGATAAAGTGAAGATAATGGGACAAATAAGAATTAAATCAGGAAACGTTATATTGATATCCCTTCTTCATCATAATAATCCTTACATTTATTGTGAGGAAGGGACATTATACAAGGGAGACAACAATAGCACACTCCCTCATACACAAAGAACCCAAGGATCTTACCAAATGCCCCTTCCTCATACACTGAGATCACATTGATGCCCCCTCTCACCCAAGATAACATTGGACTAGGAGTAGGCCATTTAGTCCGTTGAGCCTGGACACCTTTGAATCCCATTTCCTCGCTATTTTCACCCTATGCCTTCTCCCTCTAGACATAGACCAGGGAAATTGCATAGATATCCCTTCTCGGGTCCCGAGCCAACTGTCCAGCGCCTTGGGACGACCTCCCGACGTGAAAGGCGCTCAATAAATGCAATGTTGTTGTTGTCTTATACTCACAAAGCCCAGAATTACAGATATCTCCTTCCTCATAAATAAAGATTTCAGATTTTATAAATTCAGATTTCATACTCTAATACCCCACTCAAGTACCAAATTCCCCCAGGATCACAATGATGCTCCCTCCCTCAAGCACTTGATTCGGGGATCATACAGATAGCAGTGTGCCTCATATGCTCAGTCCCTTGGCTGTCTCCCATACACAGACCTCAGAAACACACTGATTGCTCCTCCCTTAAGCACCAGTTTCCAAGGCCATATACATGGATGACGTTGAAGCATCCTTCCCTCGTACTCACGAATTCAGGTAAATCACAAATACTCCTCCTACAAACACACAGACCCCAGTGAATAGGTGTATATACATATACACACACACGCAAATGCAAGTTGTGTATCACTTGCATACACTTACAAATGAGGATAGGCCAACTCCCTCAGACAGAGATTTTGTTCACATGGCTCTCCCTTCCAAACAGATCTAATCAGATATCCCGCCTTCACACACGCGACCAGTTAGACTAATAATAACCCTTGCATTTAATATAGCATCTTATTGCGTTTTCGAGGCATCTAAAAGCGCTTCACAGAATGTACTGTAAAGTGAATTGACTGCATATTTTGTGGGTGAAACTATACATAATTACACCAACACCCTTCTTCGCAAACATACTTTGAAGCTCACACTGGTATCTGCATCTCACGCAGACTCTTGGGGGATAGGTAGACACCCGCTTCCCATCCCTCAACACCAAAAATGTGCGGCTCCCACAACATAGGAAGAATACACCTCGTTATTCATCAATTCCCACTTTCCAAGTATTGGAGAACGGTGCGAGGATGGCAGGGAAACAACTCCACGTAGCAGCAAAACCCCTTCAATCCACTTCAAGCCAAAAGCACCACCTGGATGGCGTCCATCAATTACAATCGAATTTTCTCTTTCCAGAAGTTGAGCTCCACTCCCCCCCCCCAACCCCCACCACACCCGCTTTGGACAACAACATTTCTTAATTGAAATTCTTAATTTAAATAAATAGATAATTTAAAAAAAAAACCACTGGTTTGGTCCAGCGCCTTGGGACGTCCGCCCGACGTGAAGGGCGTCATACAAATGTGACGGATCGGGATCCATCCGCCGAGGACTGTTTACAGCCGAGCCCCGGTTATGGGCGTTTCTACACGTGCATTTCTGCGCATTGTGGCTCAGTCAGTCAGCGATCCCCATCGACAACCCACCTCTCCACACAAAGCCCAATTTCCGTTGCATTCAACCCTGACATTTGATGCTGCCCTCCCTGTTCAGCCGCAGGCCCGACCTCTCTCTCTTCTCTCTCTCTCTCTCCCTCTCTCTCTCTCAATTTGCCCACATGCACACACGATGCACAATATCACAAGACGCGCACAAAATCGGATGCGACTGGAAGGGAACAAACCCGGAAACATCGTTGCACGACTTGTGCCTTCAATCGCAAAACTACACTCTAAACAACGCATCTGCACTGCTCCCAAGTCTTATTTTTTTTAAATTAAAAAAAAATTAATGGCAACAAAAAAAAACCCGAGCGTTCCGGCCCTCCTGCAACGATCGCACCAAAAGACTGAGCATGTTCCCAACACGCTCAACAGCAACGTAAACGTCAGAGACAGCGCCGGATTGCCAGCGAAGCGCCTACCGTGTGCTGCTTCTGCTGCTGTGTAAACTGCCGCTCCGAGCGGCCGCCTTCCTCCAACGAGTTCCGAAGCCGGGGATCGGTCGGTGCAAACCTCCACCCTCTCTCTGCGACGAAACCTGCCCTATTCTTTTCGCTTCACCCGACTGACTGTGGTTTTCCCACTTCCTTCCCCCCCCCAATAAGTTTTATTTCCCGCTTCTTGGGTGATCTGCGTGTTCTGCAATTGCGTTGCACGGTCGTGTGTGTGTGTGTGCGAGTGAGTGAGTGAGTAGGTGGTAGACCTTTGGAATTAACTCCCACCCTCTTCTTGACCAACGTTACGTCAGACCAAAACACGGGGGAAAAGAGAGCCCAGAAAGTGTGGCGGTGAGAGCGGAAAGGATGGGCTTCCTATTTCCCAGGATGCGCTGTACGGCGTGGGGGGGGCGTGCACTCTCTAGGTGCTAAATTATGCAACTGTCCTCGACCCCCTCTCTCCCCGGGTCATTGCCTCCGCAGTATGCGACGGGGAGGGGGGAGGAGAGGGAGGGAGGGGGAGAGGGGGGAAAAACCTCCTCCCCTTGTTTTGCCCCTTTCCTGGAGCCCAACCTGACACTGTGTGACCCCCAAGAGGGGGGGAAGAAAAAAAAACCCTCCACTCGTTGGCCCCTCCGCTTTTCACACGCGGGCGAGTGCAAGTGTCGGCCTCGCTGCTCTCACCTAGTTTCCGGGCCCCGGGGTTTTGCCCCCACTCGCGCGCGCGGGCAGTCGGGGCTCGCCGGCCGCTGGGGTTGGGGGCTGCCCTCCGCCGCCAAGCATGCCGGGAGTGGCCGCGGCGCGGTGCACGCCGGGGGAGCGCCGGCGGTTGGTGACTCACTCGGCGGCGCGCGGCGCCGACTCCCCGCCTCGCGCCAACCTCACCTCCCGCCCTCTCCCCGCCGCGCGTGCCCCGGGCCTCACACCCGCCTGGGCCCCGCCGACGCGCTCGCTGAAGAGAGAGGAAAAAAAAAAAACCCGCCCACCGCCTGTTAACAAAACGCTCCTCTCCTCCGGCTCCACACAACCCACACACGCCAATTTTTTTGGGGGGGAAAAAAAAAAGCGCGGTTACTTTAATGTCGGCGCCACGAGTCCGGCGCTCGCCTCTTCTGCTCCCACCATTTTGCTAGTTGTACATGTCTTGAGTGTGTGTGTCTCTGTCTCTCACTCGCCGTGTGCGTGTGACCTAACGGCTGAAAGCATGCGTGCGCACCCGAGGTTCCAGCCGCACACTGAGCATGCGCTCGTATGACGGGGTCCCGGGCCTGCGCTCTGCAAACGCGCCGTCATACCCCCGTCCGTCCGTCCGCAAACCTGGTCCCGCGTCTGCGCATGCGCATGCTGCCGCCGGCCCCCCCCCCCCCACCGCGAGTGAGAGAGAGAGAGAGAGGCGCGAATTCGGAGCGGGGGGTCTCCTGTGCGCAGGCGTACCCGCGGCTCACGGCAATGGCGGCTAATGGCGCCATGTGCGCATGCTCACGGGGCTGCGGCGGCAGCTCGTGGGGGAGGGAATGTAACCAGAGAAGAGGCGGGAAGTGGCTCACCTCCCCCCCACCCCACCCCCAGTCACTCTCACACACCCTCACTCCTCCCCCTCCCCACACACACACCCTCACTCCCCCGCACACACTCCTCCCCCTCCCCTCGCACCCTCACTCCCCCCCTCACCCCTCACTCCCCCTTCACACCCTTACTCCCCCCCCTCACACCTCTCACCCCCCCTCACTCCCATCCCTCACACCTCACTCCCCCCTACACACCCTCACTCCCGCCCCCTCACACCTCACTCCCCCCCTCACTCCCATCCCTCACACCCTCACTCTCCCCTCACACCCTCACTCCTCTCAACCCTCACTCCCCCTTCACACTCTCACTCCCCCCCTCACACCCTCACTCTCCCCCTCACACCCTCACTCCTCTCATACCCTCACCCCCCCCCCACACCCTCACTCCTCCCCTCACAACCTCACTCTCCCCCTCAAACCCTCACTCCCCCTTCACACCCTCACTCCTCCCCTCACACCCTCACTCCCCCCTTCACACCATTACTCCCCCCCTCACTCCCCCCTCACACCCTCACTCCCTCCTTCACACCCTCACTACCCCCTTCACACCCTCACTCCCCCCTTCACACCATTACTCCCCCCCTCACTCCCCCCCCCTCACTCCTCCCCTCACAACCTCACTCACACCATCACTCGCCCCTTCACACCCTCACTCCCCCCTTCAGACCTTCACTATCCCCCCTCACACCCTCACTCCTCCCCTCATACCCTTACTCACACAACAACAAAAAATTTACATTTGCACAGTGCCTTTCACTTTGGGAGGACGTCCCAAGGCTCTGGACAATCAGGGTTTCGGATCCTGCACACAGCCTCGCTCCCCCACTGACCCACTCTCACACCCTCTCATTCCCCTCACTCTCACCCTCTCCCAACCCAATCTCACACCCTCCTCACTCTCACACCCTCCTCACTCTCACACCGCTCACTCTCAAACCCCTCACTCTCACACCCCCTCACAACCCAATCTCACCCCCCTAACTGTCACACCCTCTCATTCTCCCTCACTCTCACACCCTCTCATTCTCCCTCACTCTCACACCCTCTCATTCTCCCCCACTCTCATACCCTCTCATTCTCCCCCACTCTCATTCTCCCCCACCGCCCTCATTCTTCCCCACTCACACCATCACAACCCAATCTCACACCCCTCACTCTTATACCCACCCCAACCCAATCTCACACCCCTCACTCTCACACCCCCTCATTCTCCCCCACTCTCACACCCCCTCATTCCCCTTCACTCTCACACGCTCTCATGTTCTCCCACTCTCACACCTCATTCCTCCTCTCACACCCTCTCATTCTCCCTCACTCTCAAATCCCTTCATTCTCCCCCAATCTCACACCCCTTCATTCTCCTCCATTCTCACACTCCCTCATTTCCATTCCAGTCTTCCTCACTCTGACACATCCCCAATCGCCCACCCCCAACTCTTGCACACCCTCATTCTCTCATTCTCACACCCTGTCATTCTCCCCCACTCTCGCCCCCTTTCATTCCCCCCCACTCTCGCACCCACTCATTCCCTATCCAGTATCCATTCACTCTCACACCCCTCATTCCCCCCCACTTACACCCCCTCATTCTCCCCCATTCTCACACCCCTCATTCCCCATCCAGTCTTCCTTACTCTCACACACGCCCAGTCGCCCTCCCGCTCCCCACCACTCTCGCACACCCTCATTCTCTCACTCTCACACCCTGTCATTCTCCCTCACTCTTACCTACCCCCCACTCTCGCACCCACTCATTCCCTATCCAGTATCTATTCACTCTCACACCCCTCATTCCCCCCCACATTCGCACCCCTCATTCTCCCCCATTCTTGCACCCCCTCATTTCCCCCCACTCTCGCACCGCTTCATTCCCCTCACTCTCGCACGCCCTCATTTCCCCCTCACTCTCACACCCCCTCTCCCTCGCACCCCCTTATTCCCCATCCAGTCTCCCTCACTCTCCCATTGGTGTGTGCACTTTCAGCCATTCTCCGCCCAATTTTTGGAACATTATCTCAGATCACTGTATCTTGCCTCCTCCCTCCCTTTAAAGTTTGCTTTAAGACCTATTCTTGACCACCCTTTTCGTCAGATTTCCCCTTACCTCTCCCCAACAATTCTAAGTCCAGCTCCCAGTCAGGTCTGTGAAAGAAAGCCAAGAAATGAAGAGCAATCTGTCCTTTGGATGAGAAGTTAAACCGAGGTCCTATCTGCCTGTTCAAGTGGATGTTAAAGATCCCATGGCGCTATTTGAAAAGAAAAGGTAGTTTCTCTGTCCTGGTGTCCTGGCCAACAATCCCCCAAATAAAGTGGTTCATTCATTCCATGTCTGTTTGTGTGCTGTGTGCAACTGGCTACCATGTTTCACCCAAAGTCAATCCACTTTACAGTATATCTTGTGAAGCGCTTTGAGCTATCTCAATGACAGGATGAAACACTATAACAAATGCAAGGATTATTATTTAGCAACTTGTGGATATAATAGAATAGTAAACCTTGTATATGATATTGCATCTTATGTCATCAAAATGTCAACAAGCTTCAAAGGATTTTACTGTAAAGAGCAGTGATTGTGTTTGTAGGCAAACAAAACTGCATATGCCATCAACTCAGTCCTTGCCAGGCTCCAGGTGGATTGATTTCAAGATCCTCACCCTCAAAGCCCTCGCACCTTCCTGCAGAGTCCTGTAGCTTAGTGGTTAGAACATTCGCCTCACAAGCGAGAGGACCTGGGTTCAATTCTCAGCAAGGCGAAACGTTGGGCAAGTTTCCTTACTTCACACACCCCTGTTTACCTCGCAGCAAGTAGGAATCCGGTTGTTAGGCAATTGGTAGATCGCTTTTCCATGGGTAATAATCCCCTAAAAAAAATCTAATAATGTTATCACTCAATCCAAGACTATTTGTGGGACACTGCTGTGCACAATTGGCTGCCAAGTGTCACCCACAAAATAGTCAATTCACTTTACATTATATTCTGTGAAGCGCTTTGAGACGTTTCGAAGTTGTGATAAGGCGCTATATCAAATGCAAGGGTTATTATTATTATTATTCCTACGTGTGTTCTCCAGCCTCGCTCTTTGTTTCACACCCTGAGCTCAGCTAACACTGGCTTGCTTCACATATCCCATTTTCTTCAACTACAATGGCCCTACCCTCTGGAACTCCGTCCCTCAACCCCTCCACTTTGCCCCCTCCCTATCTATCTTCAAAATACTCTGCCTCTTTGACCATGCCTCCTCTTTGCCTGCTAAGTGTCTGGCACTGTCTGGCACAACTTGGATTTATATAACGCCCTCCATACCGGATGGTGTCTCAGAGCGCTTCACAGTATTGGATCCCGAAGCCAAGCCAGGAGGAGGGGGAGGAAGGTACCAAAGGAGCGGTCGAAAAGAAAGGTCTTCAGCCGAGACCTGAAAATAGGAAGAGAGGTGGAGGGAGTGAGGAAGGGAGTTCCAGAGCCTCGGGGCATAATGGCTGAAGGCATGGTGCTGATGGTGGAGCGGAGGATTCGGGGGACAAGGAGGAGGCCAGACCCGGTGGAACGAAGGCAACAGGCACTGTTGTGAGGAGAGAGGAGGTCAGAGACGTAGGGGGGTGCAGAGGAGTGGAGGGATTTGAAGACAAGAGTGAAGATCATGAAGGGGCCTAAATGAATACAATTTGTTGTTGAAAGACTTCCTTCTCTTTTCATACAGTCTCTTAGGATCTTTAACATCCACAGCAGTTGGTAGACAGGACCTCAGTTTAAAATCTCCTCCTAATGACAGTTTATGAACGGCATGATAAGGTGCTGTGTAATAATAATCACTTCAAAAAAAAATTCAATCCATATGACTGTTTGTGGGACATTGCTGTGCGCAATTGGCTGCCGCATTCACCCACAAATGTACAGTCAATTCACTTTGAAGCTG